ATCAACAATCTAGTCTTTGGAAACTTCTAGGCAAATCTTGAATACCCCCAGAAAGAAAGAGCATGAAAAGCTTAATTGACCAGCAACGATTATGGTTATAAGCCACAAATTAATATTAATCGTGACTGGTATTTGTAAATAAAGTCAAACTACAACTGTAGTTAGCTAACCCTAACAAAAGATTAATTAATTAAACTACATTAGTAAAAGTTTAATTTTACGTTAGTTTATTTAAAACTCATTCCCTCATAAAATAGTGGTAACCTTTATGCCATTTAAGCTTATTTATTTAAAAACATATTTCGTACGAAGTCTTCCTTATAAATGAATCGATTTTTAATTGAGCAAATAATTGGTTTTTCATTACGAAGGCAAAGATTTTGAATTGTTACCCATATTTCGAATTTTAATTTGGGCACTTCATATAAAGGCCAACGTGAATTTCCTTTTATGTTTATTTTTGTTAGTACCTTTTTCCCACTTTTTCAACTTTCATCCTCGCTCGTATCCTTTTTTCTTGGGACCGAAACGTCATCTGCAGCAGAAAAGGATGCGAAGGATGAAGCAGAAATGGGAAAATGTGCCAAGTACAGTGGATCACAACGGTTGGTGGTCGGGCATAAAAAAAATGATGCTGATGTCATAAACAACAAGAACAAAAAGAGGCAACGGTTTCGAGAATCAGGTGGCCGCATATGAGTTAATACGAATTAAACTTACACTAAGCTTTGCCCATTTGCACCTTCTACCACACTTTTCGATGCACACAGAAAAAAAAAAAAGGTTTTTTTATTTGAAAGAAAATCAACAAAAAATTTTCCTTATTTACAAAACCTTTAGATACGATTTTAAGTTCTTTACATATCTGATCAAAAATTAAACTTAAAACCAACAAAATTAATCATAATAATTGGATTTTTTTTCTTTCTGTGTTAAAAGCTCTTCTTCTAATGAGGAAGTGCAGACGGCCCACGCATATCGTTAAATATTTATGGAAATTTTATAGGGGTGCGCGCTTGAAAACTTTTCTAAAAACTCAAGCCAAGAAGGAGCGTAACGAAATCAAGGCTCAATGTTTGAGCTTATCACGCCCATAGTGCGGTGACGTTTGGGTGATGTAGAGAGAAAGAGAGACAGGGCGCATGAAGTGGGCGGGTGTTGTGAGTTCGAATGAAAGTGTGGGAGTTGGATTGAGACAGAGAGAGAAAGCAAAGGACGAGGACGAGAACGAGGACGAGGGAGAAACTGTGTCAGTGTCTGTGTGCTTCTATATACACATGTATCTGTGTGAGCTTAGGCTTTGGCTTTAGCTCAGGCGATTTGTTGCGTGCGCTGCCGCGGCCTCTGCCAACGATAGCAGAGTTGCCGTGTTGCTTGTTACTTTTTGCGAGCTTTTTCCTTTTTTCCCCCGCCTCTGCTCACACAAACACACCCACAAAAAACACAGATAGCTGTGGGAAAACGCATATATGTATGCGTGTTTGTGTGCAGCACTACACTAAAAGTCAATTGACCCGAAACTGTTGGGGATAACTGTATATATGTATGTACATACACCTGTGCTCACAACAATAGCAACTTCAAAAGGTCCTTTGTGAGTATTTTTCTAGGAAAGCAAGAAAAAAAAGTTCGAAATTTAGTAGATATAAATCAATTTTTAAACGTTTAAACTTTTTTATGTTTAACTTTTCCTTATTGTATGATTGGTATTGGCCAACTCTTCGTATACTTAATATTTGTATGTCTGTTCGTTCTACAAAATGGTACTGATATGTTGAGCACGATTGTCTTATGTACAGTACATGAAACGTTCGCCTGGGCATGCCAACAAAAATATTGGCATTCCCCAACAAACAAACGTTCATTCAAACTTTACTCAAAATGCAAATGGGTTATATTAATATTTAATCAACAATTCAAAAATTATAAATTGTTATTCGTTCATGGAATCCAGGTCAACTTCATATTTCATCTAGTTTATTGCTAAAGTTGTCCTCTCATGCTTTGTAAATTTGAAACCTGATGCAGAAATATTTGTAATGTTCAAATTATTTTGAAATGGTTTACCAACTGACAAGTAATTTTCCAAAATTTCAAGTAGAAGCAATCAAAATTCAGAACTGACATTGTTTTAATAAAAATCGTTATTTTAGCTATGAATCCCTATAATTTTTTGAAGTGCAACATTTCATATATACATGAGAGCAGGGAAAACTAAACTGCAGCCGATTTGACTTCTTAGATTCCTATTCACGGAAGATTTCCACCCAGTTTTGTGGGCTTTTTTTAAGCATTTGGCCGTGTTGTTGTTATGTTCGCGTTCCTATTTTTGCGTAGAACTCTCTGTACTTCTAATAGTTTCTTCTGCCGCTTTTCTTCCGCTATTATTAGCGCAATTTGTGTGTACGAAAAGCAAGAGAAAAAAATATAACAAAAAAAAAATAGAGAAAAATAAAAAAAAAAGCCAACCGACCGCCGACCATCTTTTGTGTTTGCCATTTGCTTTGAAAATTCTGTGTGTTGGCGGGTGCTTTACTATTCAATTTCTATTCTTTGTAGTTTTGTTATTTATTTTTATTTTATTTTTTTGTTCTTTTTATATTTTCCATTTCTATCTCGTTTCAATTGTATTGTACATTCGGTTCTGTCTGTGCCTGCTTGTTGGCCATTTAAGTGAGTCACTTCTCATTGGCTTCCCACGCAGCCTCTCGTTACCACTTTCGAACAGCAATTGTCGGACAGCTAATTGTTCAAAAAAAAAAGCGAATGCATTTTGCACCTGCTGCCAAAGGGTTTGTCCCAGTAATTAGCTAACTGATAACTAGTAACTGTTAGCCGTTAACCGTTTGCCGTTTAGCTGTCAAACTGCATATTTGCATAGGTAATCACCGAATCGACAATTGGTGCATTTTCAAATGACAACACAGCCGGAACTCGAGTCGAAAAAAAACCCCTCAACTGCCCAACAACCACAACACACAATGCGTTCATGATGTTTATGCCGCTCACTCGGGAATTTGGGCAAATACAATTCGCGCTGTTTTCTTTTTTAAATTGAAGCACCTTTTCAATTGAAAACAATCGATTGAAAAACACAAGCGAATATCTTAGGTAAATTTTTTTAAGAAGATCTAAAAATAAACTATGTTAAAAACTATTGCTAGTAAAACAGATCATGTTAATTGTATGTCGAATTTCTTGACGCATAAACTCATTGATATCAGCTTTAAGGCACACACAGTTGGCGACAGTTTGTGGGCGCTGGACTTTAATTAGGGGGGCTGGGAATTTCGAATAGCGAAACGCTTGAAACGTCGATGGAGCAATTATTCGATGATTGCATTGGACGCCCCGCAATTATTAATGAATTGCAGCAGTTCCCGGCACAAGCTCGCCACTTGACACCTCCTGGCCGTTCCTCGTGGGAATCCAACCAGCTAAAGCTAGAAGAAGCTTGAGAGGAATGCAGGAATGCACACCGTTAGGGTTGAGGATGCAGTTGGGTATTATTTCGGGGTAACAATGGAGAATAAGAAGCAAAAGCGACGAGATGAGCCAGGGACCTTGGGACTAAGCTCTTGGAAAGAAAACACGCGCACAGTGGAACCTTGTGGCATGTCCCTGGAGTTGAGAACTCAGGAGTCGAAGGACAACAAATCGCAAGGAGGCTAAAGAGAGAGACAGAAAAAGAGAGCTGACAAAGAGAGACAAAACGGTAAATTGGACAAACAAATTTCAAAGTGCCACACAAATGTGTGTAGGAAAAGGAGAAGAATAAATATTTATATGGTATTACAAATTAATAGCAATTATTATTACCGCCCTTTAAATTCAAAAATGTCATGTTACTTTCATAAAGGTTTGACAATTTGTATAATCTTGTTACCACCATTTTAAACATCAAATTAAAGAATTCTAGAAAGTTTCTATAAGAAATTTCAATTTTTTCTTGCTGTGTATTCGACGTCGGCAGCGACTGCGCAGCAGCAGAGCAAGGAAAAAAAACAGAAAAAGGAGAAAGAAAAAAACAGAGCAGAAACACACACACACACATTGAGAAAAGCGAAGGAAGAACCGTTATATGCTGCTGCCACAGCATGAAAATTTTCGTAGCTTTTGCTTTGGTGTCCTGCCGCTCACATACACACACACATACACAGACGCAGGACGAGGAGAACCGTAATTTACGTGCGGCTCTCTCCGAGAAAATCTCTTGTTTGCACACACACACACACACACATAGGCACAAACACGAAAGTTTTCTTGTTGAATTTTACTGATATTTCCATTTCAGTTGCCTTTGGCAGCCTTTTACCGTTATGATTCTTTTTTTCACTTTTTCTTGCTGGTTTTTGCACACGAAAAAAATTGTTTTGGGGATGTACGAACGTACAGCTTCAGCTGAAATTTCATCGCTTTTCATGACACACACACACACCAAAGATGACTAATAAGAGAAAAAAATGTTGCCTATGTATACATATACATATATGTGTATATATATATATACATACACACACACACACGTATGTTGTGTGTATCATGTTATTTTACCCGTTGCACTCGCGTATTTTTGCTGTTTTTTCCTTTTTTTTTGGGCCAAAAATCGACAGGAAAATTAATTGAATCGGGCATGAGCGGACATTGACATTGCGTTTTTTCTTCCTTTTTTTGGCCCGTTTAATGCAATTAATGTATGTATGCACACACAACAAAAAAAAACATTTCACGTCTTGGCTCGTTCTTACAGTACATACATCTGTATGTATGCATATGTATATTAGTATATGTATATGCGCGCGTGTGGCTGGGCATGTGTGTGCGTGTGTTTGTTGGTGGTTTGAAACTGCTCCAAGCCTCCCATTTGCGTCTGTGTGCGTGCGTTTGTTGCACAATTGAATGGAAGGGGGCGGGGCGAACTGTGAAGGCGGGGGCGGGATGCGGGAGGATGAGAAGTAGAAAATAGCACAAAAAAAAAACAGAGACTGCTTGCAATTTACCTTAGCTTCGCTTTGCTTTTAGCTCAAATTTTCTATTCGTTTTTCACTCTCGACGTTTTAGGCTTTTGCTTTCTTGCTTTTGACTTCTTTTTTGTGTGTTAGCGAAGCGCGTTGGAAATGCACACGAGAGAAAAGCGCTGCGATATCTGATTTATACGGGAGATTAATAAAAAGTGCACGCGCGCAGCAGGGCAAATCGCAAATGTTGCACTCGATAACACGCTCGTTCGTTTTCCTTTCTTGTAATAAATCGATAGAGGCGTGATTTGTCTGGGCTTATCGAGGAACGATTCCGATTGGACTGAAGTGGAGTAGCTAGTGTTACCGTTTCGTGTTGTTTGAAAATATAGAAAAGCTCAGGCGAAAAATCGAAACCCTAGAGATTTATATTCTAACTTGGTAAAAATATGGTTAAATTAGGTATTTTAGTGTAAATTTGCGATTATCAAGTTAAGATCAACACAGCAGACCGTTTTAGTTCATACACATAATTGAAAAGTATTGTTTAAGAAACTAATAATAGTGTGAAACTAATAAAAGTGGCGCGATATTTAAATGTCCCAACCATAAATTCTAGCATACTTTTTGATGTCCATGCTTTAAGTGCAACAAGAATAAATAATTCCTATCAGAATCATAACGATCTAATTAAAAAAATGTTCTGCCCCTTGCTGTCTTAACGAAACTTTTTAAATTGTGTTGTGTAAAATCAAGATTGTAATCCAGAGTTACCAGGCGGTACAACTTTTTAGTATATTTTTCTAAGCCGTTTGGTATGTGTCTTACTATACCGCTTACCTTAAATCAAATTTTTGTAAACCCTTTCGAAAAAGAAATTTGCATATATTTAGATATAAATACATAATATAAATAGGTATTTTACCTTTAAAATAGTTACATATGAACAATCTTAAATTTTAATCGACACTCAGTTCAAACGTAATATCGATATATGAAGTGAAGTGGAAACATCGATAAATCAATTTGCGAATCGATATTATTTATGTATTTGTTGTAAACAAAAAGAGCGCGATTTTATGCAAAATCGCTGTCTACTATAATAAAATGCACATCAAGCAGGTAAGTTGAACTGCTCGCCATGCCCTGGCCAGCCTGGGAGACATCATATATCTTGATTCCCACTCGCAATTCCAGATTATTATACAAGGCTTCAAGAGTTACAAGGACCAGACGGTGGTGGAACCATTCGACAAGCGCCACAACGTTGTGGTTGGACGTAATGGCTCCGGAAAGAGCAACTTCTTCTACGGTGAGTAGCAGTGACAACAATAGCATCCATGTTCCACCTATCTCTAACGTGGTCCCTCCTTTTGCAGCTATCCAGTTCGTGCTGAGCGATGAGTTCACCCACTTGCGGCCAGAGCAGCGCCAGTCCCTACTCCACGAGGGAACAGGTGCCCGTGTCATATCCGCCTATGTGGAAATCATCTTCGACAACTCGGACAACCGAGTTCCAGTGAGTAGTTCATTACAGAACCTCTGAAATATAATGTGGACATGGCCCTGTGCCAAAACTACTGTCTTGGATGTGGGCTTGGTCGTAATATGAGTTTTGATAGTAGATGGGTGTTTCATAACTTGCCAATATTGTCATACTTTGAACGATCTTATGTACAGGTTTATGCTTTTTTCTAAAACTATAGTTAATTTACAGATCGATAAAGAGGAAATCTTCCTGCGGCGCGTGATTGGTGCCAAAAAGGATCAGTATTTCCTCAACAAAAAGGTGGTGCCCCGCAATGAGGTTGTAAATTTGCTGGAATCGGCTGGCTTCTCCAGCTCAAATCCCTACTACATTGTGAAACAGGGCAAGATCAATCAGATGGCGACGGCAGCCGATTCTTATCGCCTCAAGCTGCTCCGTGAGGTTGCCGGAACCCGAGTCTATGACGAACGGAAGGAGGAATCGCTGAATCTGCTGCGGGAGACAGACAGTAAGGTGGAGAAGATTAGCGAGTACCTGAAGACCATCGAGGATCGTCTGCAGACGCTCGAGGAAGAGAAGGAAGAACTGAAGGAGTACCAGAAATGGGACAAGACGCGGCGCACTCTCGAGTACATTCGCTACGAAACCGAGCTAAAGGACACCAGGAAGGCTCTAGACGAGCTCCAGTTGCAGCGCAAGTCCTCCTCGGATAAGAAGAAAATCTATAACATCGAGATCCAGAAGGCGCAGGAGAAGATCAAGGATGTGCAAAAGAACCTGAAGGAGGCCAAGAAAAAAGTACAGGGCACCAAAGAGGAGCGCTCTGTGCTGATGACCGAGCAGCAACAGTTGTTACGCGAGAAGACCAAATTGGACCTGACCATCGTCGATCTTAACGACGAAGTTCAGGGAGACAACAAGTCCAAGGAGCGGGCTGACCAGGAGCTAAAGAACCTCAAGGTAACCATAGCCGAACGGGAAAAGGAACTGGACGACGTAAAGCCTAAGTACGAGGCAATGAAGCGCAAAGAGGAAGACTGCTCTCGGGAGCTGCAACTCAAGGAACAGAAGCGCAAGGAGCTCTACGCCAAGCAGGGTCGGGGTTCCCAGTTCTCATCTCGCGAGGATCGCGACAAATGGATTACGAACGAGTTGAAATCCATTAGCAAACAGACGCGTGACAAGATCGCCCATCATGCTAAGCTGGTGGAGGATCTCAAGAAAGATGCCACCTCCGAGAAGGATTTGGGCCAAAAGATCGAGGAGCACTCGTCTGAGCTAGAGCAACTTCGACTACAGATCGATGAACACAACAAGAAGTACTATGAGCTAAAAAAGACCAAGGACCAGCACCAGTCTATGCGAAATGAGCTGTGGCGCAAGGAAACTCAGATGACACAGCAACTGCAGACGCACAAGGAGGAGCTATCGCGGGCCGACCAAGCGCTGCGCAGCATGGCCGGCAAACCGATCCTCAACGGCTGCGATTCAGTGAGAAAGGTTCTCGACAGCTTCGTAGAACGTGGCGGTCAATCGGCGGAGATTGCGCGAGCCTACTATGGACCTGTGATCGAGAATTTCAGCTGCGACAAAACAATCTACACGGCCGTCGAGGTAACGGCCGCCAATCGACTGTTTCATCACATTGTAGAGTCAGAATACGAAGGCACACAGATCCTTAAGGAGATGAACAAACTGAAGTTGCCGGGTGAAGTGACCTTCATGCCTCTGAACCGCCTGCAGGTAAAAATACACGATTACCCGGATGATCCTGACTCCATACCAATGATATCCAAGCTGAAGTACGATGAACAGCACGACAAGGCTTTAAGGTATATCTTTGGCAAAACGCTAATCTGCAGAAATCTAGAGCGTGCCACTGAGTTGGCGAAGAGCACGGGACTTGATTGTGTAACGCTGGATGGAGATCAGGTATCATCCAAGGGTTCCCTCACAGGCGGTTATTTCAATACATCACGATCCCGTCTGGAGATGCAAAAGAAACGAACAGAATATACCAGCCAGATTGCGGAATTCGAAAAGAAACTCGGCAAGCTGCGCAATGAACTTAAGTCCACCGAGAACAATATCAATTCGATAGTATCCGAGATGCAAAAAACGGAAACAAAGCAGGGTAAGTCAAAGGATGTGTTCGAAAAAGTGCAGGGCGAGATTCGGCTAATGAAGGAGGAGCTTGTGCGCATTGAACAGTACCGGGCTCCCAAGGAGCGCTCCCTGGCTCAGTGCAAGGCGTCATTGGAGTCCATGACTAGTACCAAATCTAGTTTGGAGGCTGAGCTTAAACAGGAATTGATGTCCACGCTGTCTTCGCAAGATCAGCGGGAGATTGACCAGCTGAACGACGATATTCGTCGTCTTAACCAGGAAAACAAGGAGGCATTTACGCAGCGAATGCAGTTCGAGGTGCGCAAAAACAAGCTGGACAACCTGCTAATCAACAATCTATTTCGGCGACGTGACGAACTCATCCAGGCGCTGCAGGAAATCTCCGTGGAAGATCGCAAGCGAAAGCTTAATAACTGCAAGACGGAACTGGTTTCCGCTGAAAAGAGAATAAAGAAGGTTAACTCCGATCTAGAGGAGATTGAAAAGCGGGTGTCGGAAGCAGTGCAGCTGCAAAAGGAGCTGCAACAAGAGCTCGAGACACATGTGCGCAAGGAAAAAGAGGCTGAGGAGAACCTTAACAAAGATTCTAAGCAGCTGGAGAAATGGTCCACTAGGCAGAATATGCTCAATGAGAAAATCGACGAATGTACGGAGAAGATCGCTAGTTTGGGCGCCGTGCCGCAGGTTGATGCTGCCTATACCCGCATGTCACTGAAAAATATCTTTAAGGAGTTGGAGAAAGCCAACCAGCACCTAAAGAAGTACAACCATGTGAATAAGAAGGCCCTGGATCAGTTCTTAAGCTTCTCCGAGCAGAAGGAAAAGCTCTATAAGCGCAAAAAAGAGCTGGACATCGGTAACCAGAAGATTCACATGCTCATACAGTCATTGGAGATGCAAAAGGTGGAGGCTATCCAGTTTACGTTCCGACAAGTAGCGCAGAACTTTACCAAGGTCTTCAAGAAGCTGGTGCCCATGGGCGCTGGTTATCTTATCCTGAAGACCAAGGACAACGAAGGCGAAGAGATGGAGAAGGAGGTGGCCAATTCTGATGCCTTCACAGGGATTGGCATTCGAGTTTCTTTCACTGGCATTGAAGCTGAGATGCGTGAGATGAATCAGCTGTCCGGTGGACAAAAGTCCTTAGTAGCCCTGGCCCTGATTTTCTCCATCCAAAAGTGTGATCCAGCTCCATTCTACCTGTTCGACGAGATAGATCAAGTGAGTAAATGGCTGATCTTGAGGTATTTTGGTTCTTGACATCTTGACAAATGTTTCCTTTTTATCTAGGCCCTGGATGCAATGCATCGAAAGGCGGTAGCGGACATGATTCACGAGCTTAGCGACACGGCCCAGTTTATTACGACAACGTTCCGGCCGGAATTGCTGGAAAACGCGCACAAATTCTACGGCGTGAGATTCCGTAACAAGGTCAGCCACATTGATTGTGTGACCCGAGAGGAGGCCAAGGACTTTGTCGAGGACGACAGTACCCATGCCTAGGAGATTTCCCCTGCCAAAATCACATCCTCAAACCCACCACACCCACCCCTTATCCCAGCCGGCAAACCCGGAACAATTATTAGTTTCTTAAGCCTAAATTTGGTTTCACATTCTTTTTGAATCATATATATATATATATTTAGTTTTTTTTTATTAAGCATAATTGCTACTTGTAATTTTCCTTAACAACGAGAGTTAGTTTTCGATATAGCCGCCTCCTTTGCGTCAAACACATCGGGCAGTGGTGGAAAATCGAGAGTTAAGTAACTCTGAACCCAGATCAATATGTAATAAAGCACATAGAGAAGTAATCTTAACTATATTTAAAATAAAAAAAAGTGTATTAAAAAATCATATACAAAACGAATCGATTGAGGCGTATGTGGGTAATATGGAGTATTTTTTAAAGTAAAACTTGACTTGAATGGAATATGATAGTCGTAATATTGATAACAGCGATGAAAGTTTATTACCCATATACTTAAATAAATATAAATAGTATATCATTTTTAAATGGAGTAGAATTGATTTATTTTACAAAAGAATTATTGATCAACAATGTACAGCTAATAAATTAAAGTCAATCGTAGACAAGAGAAATGTGCCTCAGATAAGGGTAACCAAGGCACCAGTCCTTGGTTGCCCGACCAGCTGACCTCAGCTGGCCACTGCATCCAGTTGTTCCTGGATGGCGTTCAGCGCAAAGATGGTGCTAAAGCACATGCCAATGGTGGCTACCTCCAGCTGGGTGATATTGTAGTGCAGCGGCAGTCGCCACAGGAAAAAGTGATTAAGTAGTATAAGCAGCGCAAGGCCAAGTGACCACCAGTGCTCGTCGACGACGGCAATGTGCCACAAGCAGAAGACATTCCAAACCACACAGAGACCCAACTGGGCCGCATCCAGTTTGATGAATGTTGCGCCTAGCGGACTGCGACTACTGCCAAACCACAAACTTGTGACAGCCAGTGCTAAAACACCACTCCAGAGTCCAAAGGCCAGACGCTCCCAGTCGGCTCCAAAGAAGTCACCCATTCGGGTGGCAGGATTCGCAGTCTGCAATTCACCAACTACCAGGGTAACAAACAGGACGCTTGAGTACCTCCTCGACTTCTCACACAACAGCCGCTGCACTGCCCCTGGATTGGGATGTGTGTGCCGCAGCAGACAGAGCAGACTATGGCCAAAGTAGATCCCAAAGGCGGCCATCGCCTGGCTGCCGGTGCTCCGTTTTAATCCCCAGCCGGAGATCACAGCCAGGACGAAGTGGATCAGACATACGGCAAGGCGGGAGGATCCACAATTGGCACCCGACAGGGGGCCATTATCCAGCGGAGGGCCACGGCTGTTTACCATGGTTATGGTAGCCGGTCGCCGGTTGATTTAACTCCAATTGGAGGATTCCCGTGTCCAGGAGGGACTGAAGAATTGTATCTATCGACTTATATGCGGTCGAGTTTAGGATCTTTAATCTAATTTAGTTAATTATTTGTTATCAACTTTGTTATTTTGACGCCAAGTTATCTTCGATATCAAGAGGCGTTATCGGGCCCAATAGTTCATCGATATTCTATAGGCTTTCCTGAAAAAAACAATTTTTAAATCCACATATTTACATATTAAAGACTATTCTTTAGAAAAAGCTCTTTTATTGAGCGGCCTCAAATGACAGTTAAATTGATTTGAATTTTTATGAACCGTTATAAATAGCTACCAATAAGGGGTATATTCAACCAATTGTTATTTTTAACAGGTCAAAGGCAATCTTCCTTTAAAATGATATTTTAGTTTTGTTTTATATATATAAATAAATGTATTATAACATCAAATTAGATTGTTAAACTAACTATTTTAGTTGCTGATTTTTGTTGGAAATGGATGGTCACATTGGATTTGTAACGTAAGACTTATTTATTAAACGTAAGATATGTTTACCTAAGTTTATGAAAGGTTTATTTACAACATGGAGCTATTCTAGGATTAAATTAAAATTATTGACGATATGAGACAAGCCAAAAAAAGAATATTTTAAAAAGGTAATGAGTCAACAAAGTACTTAATCTAGAAAAGTTTGAATACGACCACTCTAACTTATCGATAAGTAACGAATTCTGGCATCGAGTTACTCAGAAAATAAAGTCAAACCGTACATATAGACTGCCATTAAAACCCATTCGATACATTCGATATAAATAAACACCGAAAGGCTTGTGTTTATTATATTACGACGTGTCTGCACTTGACCCCGTGCCCAAAGATCTGGAAAGTGCGCGATCGCCACAGACACAAGAAGGACACCATTCCGTGGTGGAGCAGGAGAAGGAGCAGGAAGACTAGAAAGGGTAGCCAACGGTAACGCTAAGGAAGTTGGCAAGGCATCAAGGATGGCTGGATCCGCGTTGCGCCGCCTGATGGCGGAATACAAACGTAAGTGCAAAACTCTATAGACCAATGAAGTTTTCTCCATACCAATCCAATCTGCGATCCTCTCCAGAGTTAACACTTGACCCGCCCGAGGGCATTGTAGCCGGCCCCATCAGCGAGGACAACTTCTTCGAGTGGGAGGCATTGATTGCGTGAGTGAAGATCTGCCTATTTGCAGATATTGTTTGGTTAAACCAAACCAGTTTTCATCTCTTGCCCTTTGCCCTTTTGCAGTGGACCCGAGGGCACTTGCTTCGAGGGCGGTGTATTCCCCGCCCGCCTCGTCTTTCCACCCGACTACCCACTTAGTCCGCCAAAAATGAAATTCACTTGTGATATGTTCCATCCCAATATCTTCCCCAACGGGCGGGTCTGCATATCAATACTTCACGCGCCTGGCGACGATCCCATGGGCTATGAGCTGTCCGCGGAGCGCTGGAGTCCTGTCCAGAGCGTGGAGAAGATTTTGCTCAGCGTGGTCAGCATGCTGGCAGGTAAGGTGGAGTCACTAATGGGTTGGTTGTTGTTGCCTTGTTCATTTTTGTTAAGTAAATCTTTGTTAATTTGCTTACATGAGCATTCTTAGTAAGACACTTAGGCCAGACGGTGAAAGTTTTTGCATACAATTTTCTACGATGACCATGAAATTACATTTGAACGAAAATCAATCGTAGTAAATTTACATAGTTTGACCATTTGAACTTGGTTTAAGTCTTGCTAAGCATTTTTTACAAAAGAATGTCCCCATTGAATAATGGGTGGTAGAGTCAAAATACTTTTGCAAAAGGTGTAATACAATTTAAAATCATGTAAACAACCAGTGATTTAAAAGGAAAAGAATATTAAATATGTATGTTCTCTTAATTAATTCTACCGCTCATGAACAATACACCCTCAAAATATTTTGTCTTATTTCCAATCACTGATCTCGTTTTTGTTTTTCCACCAACAGAACCTAACGATGAGAGCGGCGCCAATGTGGATGCCGCCATAATGTGGCGCGAGCGGCGAGACGAATTCAATGCCATCGCCCGACGACTGGTGCGCAAAACCCTCGGATTGCCGCCGTAAATGATTTAAAACAAATTGGAAATGGACCATGTCCGCCACCGTCGACCCAAAACAACAACACGATTCCAAGATTGCGCCCTACACGAAATGCTAACACCACAGTTCCCAACCCATAACACCCTCGTTGAGCTAATCGACAAAGACGTTTCAAATTAGCAAAAATAAATAACCTAGAAATAAAATCGACTGTTAACCAAAATCAGGCAAACAGCAGTGATCCTTGGCTGATTCAGCGAATCTAGGAAGAGGGTTTTTTTAGCCACCAGAACTCACTAGGCAAAGTCTGAAGAATGTGAAAAGTCCGTATAAAATGCTTATATATCCTATAAATAAATGTTTATTTTTTATTTTTACATTTTCTGCCCGAAAAATAACATTAGTTATTGACCTTCATCGGATATAAGGAATAGGCTATCCCGATTATAATAACTACTTAATCTTAGGATCCACTGCACACACAAAGAAAAGTTGTAGGCAAAGTTAACTTTTATTAGGCTTTCTATTCAGTTTGTATAGGTCTTTACATACTCAATTAAGTCTAATTCCATTATTCCCAACTGATCATTAACCGAAATCCCACAAGCGAACGATCGTCGACTAGAAATTGTTCTACGTAGTCTTCATATCATATATATATATATATATATATATATATGTATATATATATTTTACTACACAATTGTAAATGTTTTTCACTTGATTAAGTAAATTGATTAATGTACACTTTGATAAGGCATATATATGACTGTATAGATATATAGGTATGTGGTAAATGCATTCTTATACGTTGGTTAAGTTTCTACGGGAGTGTGGGTTAGTTATAGTTATCTAATTGTTCAAGGTTACTAAGCCACTCGAATTTCAATTGACCCACTACGCATAAATTTATGCTCTCTTTTGCCATCAGGTCGAAAATGTTCATGTACAGCGAGCACTAGTGACTTTTATGGCCCACTGTAGGTTTCACCAGTCTTTCGAAACCTTACCAATTATGGAACCAGTGTTTCGGTCTTCAAAAACCCCACTGCACGGTGGGTAAAAATCAACAATGACTGCTTGAAATGTCTACTTGATGATCTAGTTTTGTTTCGTTTATGTTAAAGTGCAGTTCTTGTTGTAATTGGTCATTTATGGATTATTTTCTATTTAGATAATGGAAAACACTTCAAACCATTATCGTTTTTATGTCGTTTTTCTACAAACTCGTGGTTTTGGTTAAAAAACGCTTCTCTTTTGCTTAAAACAATATTTTAACATATAAGTTAAATGATAACTACTTATTTGTTGTAAGTTAGCAAGGATTTTTCTTATATAAGCTATTTCATTCTTCTATGTTTTGTGGAATCATAAGTTCTTTTAAAGCACTTTTTGAAAGGTAATACTTATTTTTAAATAAAAATAAAACAAATATGTATAGATAAATTCCCAACCTTATTATTTTGTTAATACGGTTGAAAGAAATCAAGTTAAAATATCGTTTTTATATAATATTTGTTCTACATTTTACTTTAAAAACTTTCAAAAATATCACTTTTCAGACTGCGGTTCTTAAATAATTCATAACTCTCTCTCTCATATTAGTTTCCAATATCATAAACTTGCAAGTTTCCGTGGAACAGCCATAACCTGGACTGGAAAACCAAATTGGGCCCAATATGCGGGTGTGTCATAGCGTAAATATGTGACTGTCAGTGGCGTAATTAACCTTTTGCGAAACCGGTTAAATAAATATATATCTAATGCCATGACACCGAACAAATAAAAATAACAAAATGACAACAGAGAGTCGGATAGAAGAACAAACATATGCAGACGAAAGCAGGATTCTTTGGTTGGGGATTGGGTGACTGGGAAAGGTAGTAGTAAACACAAACATGATTGGTTGGATAATTGTATAATTACATATAGTAAACGTTATTTTGAGGGTGGCGCTGAGTAAACAGCCAACACAAGCAAACTTAACATGGTCAACAAAAATAATATTCTGCACAGCGAAGACTAAAGAATAAAGATGTCCAGGGCCTCGGCCAGCTAGTCAACATGGTACTCCGTCCGATGGGGGGAGCCATGTCGCTTCTCGGCCACAAAAACGCCACTGACACCGGCCAAACTGGTAACGCCACGGACACCAGTGCTGCGGAAATAGATCAACAGATACTGTTCGCCGTGGCGTAGTTCCACATCGTCAGCGAAATCGAGACGCACCTGCTCCTGGGCATTCGCCTCTTGTTGGCGTCGCAAGCGTTGACGATTCTTATGATGATGACGACCCCTACGGTGATGTGAGGGTGTCTCAAATGGATCCGGTTCATGGTTAGAGTCCGAGGATGTTGGTGACTCAGCCTGATTGACGTACTCGTAGGCAACGTAGTCTGCCAAACTGGCATACTCAACCGGATAAATTCCAATCCAATCGTTGGGACCCTCATCAAACTCCGCCTGCTTGCGATATTCCACCGTGTTCTCGTCCCCAATCTTCCAGACCGTCAAGGGGGAGAACACTACACCCGGTGCACGTACATTAGGATACAGTTTAATGGTAAAATCACTGGTCACCGGCTTGTGATCACTGATGGTATACACGGGATGGGATTTGTAAGAGCACTGTTCGATGGACAATTGCATCCCAGGTTGTCTGTTCATTGGCTGCACCGCATACATAATCCGATCCGTCCACGCTGGGCGCCGTTTTAAGTCATACTCGGAGGTTCCCTCGCGGAACTTAAAGGTGGGCGGAAAGGCTGGCAATCTTTCGTGCATAACCTGAAAGGCCTGCTGCGATTTCTCGCGCACCTGATATAGTTGATCCCGCTTAATAAGAGCCTCATGCTGGGTCTCATCGCGAACCAGCTCACGGACTTCCGTCGAGGAATCCCCGCCCTGCAGACGGAAGTTGAGATCACCAAACCAAAAGACATAGTCGTGATCGTAAATCTCCCTGAAGCGTTTGACATGGTAATGATGATTTTCTAGGATCTGATTATAGTCCTCAATGCGCTCATCCAACTGATGATCATGGGCAGCCAGGTGAGCCACCACGAATGCTAAACCGCAACCGTAGAGGGTGAATCGAACGCTCACGGCTCCCTTATTGCCCCAAATGCCACCAAAACCGGTCCTCGTGAACTCCGCCTCGATGTCCTGCAAGTGCTCTACGTGCTGCCTCCGTACGAACATGCTCAGAAGGAGTCCCTGCATCTGTTCCGTCTTTACAGCCACATAATCATACCCACGAAGCAGTTCCTTAGCCTTGTGCGTCCAAGGATCCTCCTTAAATAGGCCCAACACTTGTTGCTGCGGCTGGGCATTGACCTCCTGCAGGCCAAGTGCATAAATGTCCGGCAAGTGGGCATTTGTCTCCTTAGACGAGGTCACATCCTGTAATCCCAGTAGCTGACGAAGAGATATGTTTTCCGGAAAACGGCTGCCCACATTCCAGGTCACCACGTACACCCGGTACGTCTCCACCTGCTGCTTTCCACTGCCCTTCGCCTCATCTGGCTCTGAGTCCGGAATCTTGGATGACTTTTTGGACTCCGTTTGGCTCATTTCCGCACAAATCGTATTGATAACCAAGTGGTTAACCTCTTCCAGCTGTTCAAAGCAATAAAAATTGTTTATCCAACCTATTGGGATTGTTTTGCAAACCAATTCTTTATGCTAGCGCGGATTATGTTACCGTAATCTGGGCTATTTCAGCTGGAGAAGCAGCCGTGTCGAGTGGTAATTGCTGAAAATATTGCAGCACAAATAGTTTTTAACACTTGTTTGCCCAGCCCAACAACAACAACAGAGCAATAGCAATAACAACAACTAGAGATGGTACTAGAAAGATGACACAATCGATTACCAATTTAAAAAAAATGTTAAACTCCTATTTTTATTATAGATACCACTATTTTTAAAACAAAAAGCAAATAAGTTCATGAATTGGCTATAATTTAGTACGATACACAATTTCAGCAGTTTTTTTTAGTAAATTTCAAATTTTGCCGCCACTTTTACTCGCTGGCATTAATTTGGTATATTTATATCGAAGCCACTCGCTGCAGTTTCACTCGTCATTCTTAATAATATGCGATTGTTTTAGGACAACTATCGATGCTTATTAATAATGTATGTAAATAAATAATTTTAAAACCTTACCTAACCTTTGCTTATAACGTCATTGAGATTAATTTTGTATTGTTGAAAAACCTAATTTATTTGTTAGAAAAACTTCAAATCATGTGTGCTTTCTGATATACTTTAAGTAAGTACCTATCAAATCAAATTGTATAAATGTTACTTTTAAATCGAGGTTTTTTGCCAACAAATTAAATCTCTTTTGGGAAAAAGTTGATAACCTATTACCGTTTTAATTAATGATATTTCATAATTTTCAATTCGTAACAGTGATAACAATCGACGATTGCAAAAACTATCGCTTATGGGACACTTCTAGAAACATCGATAATATCGGAGAAACATCGATTTTAGTTCCAGCTCTACCTTGTGGCCACACACGCGTTTTTTCCCAAATCGTGCTTTTTTGTGAAATTCATTTGTTACAAATCGGCATTGCATTACGATCGCGCAGCCAACGAAAATCTAAGCGCGGTCACGGAACTAAAATTGTATTTGCAAACAAATCTGTGCATTTGGCCGCACGAAAATGCTAAAATTCATACCGATTCGCAGCGCGCGTGTGTGTGTGTGAGAAGAGCGTGAAGAAGAGGAGCGAAGAATTGCGAAAGCAGTGTGTGCAAGGCGGAAGAAGCACAAAGACAAAAGCGAGGCGATAAAAAAAATTCGGACAGGCGGCGCTATCCGACAATAAAATAAAAACAAAAAAAATAAATCAGGCGGCATGCCGCAAAGCGGTAAGAGAAAATCCAAAAGAAAAAAACGATACTAAACGCTTTACCCGTATTTGGTACCAAATCCTTTTTCCCGCCTCTAATTTTACAGTGCCACTGGCCAGCATTTATCATCATCCAGTGGTGGCCAAATATAAATCTAAAGCGAGTGCTATAATATTGTGGCGCCAAACAGAATAGTTTCTAAAACAGTCTGCCGCGTGTGTTTAAAATCTCGGCAAATAAAAAAAAAAAAAAACGAAAAAAAACACGACGGCGTGCGTAAGCGCACACACACTCTCGCACACGCACGACAGTGAAGGAAAGAGACCGGTATAGCGGTGGGCAGTGAGGGCGAGTGAGAGAGTAATTCACACACAAACAGACACACACAACTCGCTGGCAGGAATTGCAACAGTGTGTGCTCCTTTTTTTCCTTTTTTTTTTTTGTTACTTACGTTTTGTTGTTGTGTGTGCGGCGGCGCTTCTTTTTGGCTTTTTGTGTCTCTCTTTTCTGCCGTTGCTTCGCCGGCTAAAAAGGAGAACCGAAATTAAATTGGCATAATGGAGGATGGACAGGAGCAAAGGGAATCCTCGCAAGCGGAACTGGCCAGACTGCATCCGATGACGCCGCTAAAGGAGCTGCCAGAAGAAGAAGAGGAGGAAGATGAATCCTCGGCGGGAGGCGACAACAACAACGTAAGTACAGTCGACAACGACACATTAATTTCCAAAGCAAGTTCCTAATCCCAACCACAAACCGAATCCTTAAATACAGTCTATACTGGGAAAGATGAAGAAGCGAGTATCCAGCATTTTTCCCACCTCCATAAGCGGATGGTTTTCGCCTTCATCTAAAGGTGGACCTGAGTCCGCCGCCTCATCATCCTCAGCTAATCTCCGCCAGCCACAGCCACGCCAGGCTAATGGACGCTCCACAACGAAGCGGAAACGTGGTCGTCGTCGCATCATGCTAGCAGATGCGGATGAAGCCGATGATCTGGACGATGGTACCGATGCCAACGGGCTAAATTATGAGGAAGTTGCCTTGGCTGACAACATAGCTGAGCATGACTTGGCTGCCGAGGATGAGCAGACGCGTCGCAGCGAGTACAATGTTTTCCTGTTGCGCAAGCGACGCGATGCTGTTGCCGCTGCCGGTGGTGACGATGAAGAGGCCGAGGACGATGATCTGGAAGATGAAGAAGATGAGGGCGACGAAGAAGATGACGACGATGAGCAGGATAATCTCCTCCAAAGCACCGCCGTTCCCAAGCGTCGACGTCTGGAGGTAAGTAAAATTATTTTTAAAATTCTGCCTACAATTCTCAATTAATCGTTAATCCCATCCAGCTGGAGACCACAGTCAACTTGCCAAACATGCGCCGTCTGCCCTTATTGTCATCTACTCCTGCTGCTCCACTCGTTGGTTCCAGCTCCAACTCCTCATCCCTCTTCCTCTTGGAGGGTGTAACGAGCAGCAGGCAGATTGCACCACACCGGCGCAATCACCTCAATTTATATGGTAGTCAACGGCAGCGCGAACCCGCTTATAACTTTTTCACGGGCAACGAAGCCGCCGAGGGCAGCACCGGGGATCTGCCGCACAGGTAAGTAACTCAAATCTAGTCCATCTCTTGTTCCTTACGACCTCTTGGAAAATCGATTACAAGCAAAAACAAATGTTCTTTCAGTTAACATTCATTAAAATGATTCCATATTCCTTGAATACTATAATAAAGTATTATTTAAAGAAATTATTAATTAGTTAAGCCTTGCTATCATTTTAGCATTCGCCGTTCGCTGAACATACCTTTCGGAGGCAGCAGCACCGCCACTAGACACAACAGCCTCTCCAGCCTTCCTAACCACAAGCGACCCTCGCTTATGGGCCAACGTACCCATCGTCAAGATCTTACTATGGACGAAACGGGAATTGGACTTGGTTTGGGTTCGGTAACAAATACCGATGGAGATCGCCTCGACCATTTGCTAAGAATCAGCAAGACCAATAACAACATTAGTAACAATAATAATAACAATAACAATGTTATCAAGTCAAAGTCAAGACGCACTGAATTGTCAGTGACCGGAGGAGTTGGCGGAGACTCGCAGTCCGAGAGCGATATGAACGATTATCACGACAATGGTGATGGCCACGATGGACTGCGACCGTCTCATCACAGCAGCAACAGTAACCTGGAGTTTTACGGCAATTTGCAAAGCACCAAGTCGATATTTAACAGGAGCAACGCCACGGCACAGCAATCACACCGGAATTCTACATGGTCGCTAAATTCTTTGAACCAGCGACGTCGCTTTAATGCCTCCATTTACGGAAGTACATCTGCGTTAAGCGACAGTCGTCTACTGAGTCGCAGCGCTTCAGCATCCGGTTCTGCATCTGCATCCAGTTCACCCTTTTACCAGGGACGGACCACCTTTGGCGGCAATTCTGCGAATAATCGCATATTCAGTCGAAGCAATCTGAGCTCCTCCGCTGCATCCTCAACAATGGCCATTAATTCTGCCGGCAGTTCTCCAGCTCATCCATTACAGGGATCTATGGCAGGTGGTATAGGGTACGGAATGAAAGCTGTGGACATGCAGCCATCTGTCAACAGCAATATTTCAGATATAGGTGGCATCAAGAAGTCTGGCTCCGGGCTATCAAATACCACACTACGCATCCTCAGCCTGCTGGACAGTTACTCAACGCCACTGATCGATGCCAAGCGCATGGGTAGCACCATCAAGGAACATCAAAGCAGCCGTCAACAGCGTCAGTCTACGTCGGCTACGCCATATCCACGTCCCTCGGGTTCCATTAGCCGCAATACTACGGTTCCAAAGGTAATGGACGAGTTGGCGGAAATGCGCTCTAACAAACTGCTGGTTCCGACAATGCAGCAGCTTTTGGAACGCCGACGACTGCACCGCGTTACCCAGAACTCGCGAGAGGTTGTGCACCAGAATGCACGATCTGGCACCGAGAACAACCAGGAGAAGGTCAATCAAACAACACCTTATGTTGCTCCGGTGGATCAGTCGTCCAGCCATACTCCCCATACAAACAAGATGCGTTCGCGACTGTCACACCAGCAGAGAAATAAGGAGCCACGCACAGAACTGGAGGAGGCACCCAAGCCGCTAGATCTGCCACAGATTAGCTTCCCAGACATGGCCAGCACGCCAAAGTTCGACTTGGTTATTAAACCATCGGTGCCAGTGGTTTCAAAACCATCTTCAGTAATCCCAATAATCAGTAACAAAAGCAACAATAGTAATATAGCGGCCAACTCCAAGCAGCTGCCCAACTTTTTGGCTAATCCACAGCCTGCGGAGCCAATTGTTAACTTTTCTGCCAATGGCAATACTGTTGTTGCATCCAGTAAACCATCGGGACGCAACTTTAACTTTTCGGAACCCATAGCTTTGTCGAATTCGCAGGTAGACTCCGTTAGCGATCTGGCAGTTAAGCGCAATTATTTCTTCCCTTCACCGGCATCACTGGATGACGTGCCAAAGCCGTCGCAACCAACGATGAACGGAGCACCACCACTGGGATTCGGTGAGCAGTTCAAAAAGTCATCCAAGGAGTGGGAGTGTGATGTGTGCATGATCCGCAACAAGGCCGAGGTTAACAAATGTGTAGCCTGTGAGACAGCTAAACCAGGAGCAACTCCGCCTATGGCCGCTCTTGTCCAGGCAGCACCACCCACGACAGCTATTGTCCCATTGTCTGGCTTTGGGGACCGCTTTAAGAAGTCTTCTACCGCTTGGGAGTGCGACGCATGTATGCTGTCCAACAAGGCGGAGGCCAGCAAGTGCATTGCCTGCGAGACTCCACGAAAAGCGGCGGCACCAAAGGTTAACAACTTTCCGCAAATCACAAACAATTCAATAACCGGATCCGGGTTTGGTAATGCCTTCAAGCCAAAGGCCAATACGTGGGAGTGCCAGACATGCCTGGTAATGAACAAATCAAGCGTCACGGAATGCATTGCCTGTCAGACGCCTAACTCACAACCTAAAAGTAACAGCGATGTATCCGTACGGAGTCCATCTGGATCGTCATCGTCTTCGACATCATCCTCTGGATCATTATCTGGATCCTCATCCGGATCACTATCCGGATCATCCGCTGCTCCATCTCAAGCCAGATCATCCGGAGCGTCATCGTCGTCTATCATTGGCTCATCTACCGACAAATTCAAGTTTGGCTACGGTTTGGGATCATCAAATGAAGTACCCAAGCAGGATACGGGATTTCAACAGCTGGTGGCAGCACAAAAGGCAGCGAGTTGGGACTGCGATGCATGCATGGCCCAGAACGATATGTCGCGGATCAAATGCATCTGCTGCGAACAGCTAAAGCCTGGAGCCACTGGCGTCACCTCATTATCTACGAGCACGACTACCTTCGGTAGCAGCGGTTCAACGATTTCCTCCGCCAGTGCGGTGCCTAAATTTAGCTTTGGATTTGCGACTGTAAAGGAAGTCGTCAAGCCTTCTGTAGAAACGGCTGCACAGGGTAAAGATGTGGCAGACAGCAAAAAGTCGGGAGAACCCATCCCGAGTTTTTCGTTTGGAGTAAGCAAAGTTGACCTGCCCAAGACTGTAAGCTTTACTACAGAAACGAAAGCACCAGCCGCCGCATCTAGCACAGAAACGACAGCTCCGGCTGCTGCACCAAGCCTCCAGTTTGAATTCAAAGCCCCAACTACTGCGACCACGGCAGCCAGCTCACTCACTACCACAACAACCACCACTCCTGCTCTGGGTGGCTTTAGATTTAGCGCTCCACCATCATCATCGACTGTGTCCAGTTCCACGGCTAGCTCGAGTGCGAATCCCACGGCTGTGAAGCCAATGTTCAACTTTTTAGTAAGCAGTACCAGTAGCCAGCAGCCAATGGCCAAGGTGGCGGCAACCCCGAGCTTAGGTGTTTCATCAAATACCATAACAACAACGACGACCTCTACTTTAACACCGACAGCTACACCAGCTGCAGCCGTGACTACCTCAGCACCAGCTCCAGCTGCCAACTTTAGCTTTGGAAGTCAGGCGAAACCGGCGGCAACCCAAAACGCTGGAACTTTCTTCTTTGGCCAGACAGCTGCCTCTTCAGCTAACCCAGTCAGCACCAGCGTTAGCTCTATCTTTGGGGCACCTGTAAATACCACAGCCAACACCAGTTCCAGCTTGAGTGTCACGACTAGCACCACAAATGCCGTGGTTCCAAGCTTTGAACCCACCACGACCCCACAGCTCTTTGGCAGTTGGGGCGAAAAGAAAGCGGTGACAACGACTAGCAGCACTATCGAGCCTTTTGCCTTTGGATCTTCTTCGGGACCGGGAACGACGGCAACACCCAGCTTCGGTTGGTCAAACAACGGAGCAACCGCTGCAAAGAGCAATAGCATTGCTGTCACCAGTGTGGGCATATCAGCTGCCCCGGCTTCTACAATGCCGACAGCAGTGTTTGGCAGCAGTTCTATGTTTGGAGCTCCGAGCAACAGCACCACAAGCACCAGTAGCTCTCTTTTTGGATTGACGGCAACATCACCTGCCGCAGCAACACCGGCGGCAGGCAGTTTAGGTGGTAATGGAGCAATCTCTGGGGTCTTTGGAAATATGGGCAACTCTCTGGCGGCAACTGGAGCACCGACGGCCACCATGCCCGCTGTGTCAGCCGCTGCACCGCTGGCCAATATCTTCGGTAATCCCACGACAATTGCTGCGGCAGCTCCTGTTTTCGGCAGCAGCAGCACAAGCGGAGGTTTTGGAGCAGCTGCAGCGTCGGCTACAGCGGCGACATCAGGATCGAAGGTAGCATTTGCTTTTGGTGGAGCGACCGCAGCCGCGCCAGCTGTGAGTATATAATTACTTATTCATGCATAGGTTTATGTTTTTTTTTTTTTCTGATTTACCCAATCTGTTTGTTAACTTTTGCAGTCCTCAAATGCACTATTTAAATTTGGCAGTGCCAACAATGATCAGCCGACCGCCAAACCTGCGTTCAATTTCACAGCCTCCGCGGTGAGCTCGACTCCCAATGCGCAGAGCTTTAATTTCACGTCCAATTCGGCAGCTACTAGTCTCTCCGGCGGCGATGTAAGTAAATCAAATACCCAATAATCAATCCACTATCATCATACCTGACGAATTTACAAAGAAATCCAATTAATGCCCAAAAGATATGATCGATGGGAGCAAAGCTCCAACTGAATGATGATGAAAAATTTCTCTCATTTTCATCCATGCAAATTTGTTTGCGGTTGTTTGTAGTCGTAGAACTGTCGGTCATAAATATTTCCTTTTGATTTTCCGTCTTGCATGCCACCGTTAAGCGTTATAATTAGCGATGATAACAATCGATCGATCCTCCTAACATATCTGACCGATTATATATATATATATTTTTATTTAGAACCACTTACCTTATTGATTTGAACTATTTAACCTACATATAGAGATATCTATATATATATTTATTTGTATTCTTCTCTCCTTTTCTTTTTTATCTTTTTCCACAACCCTTTCTACATAAATACACACAAACGATCGTGCGTGTTGTTACTGTTGAAATATTGTCGTATACCACCATGTATTTTATGTATACTCCTTATAACTACGCAACTTCCATAAAATCTGTAATGTACACTATCCTGTACACACTGAAAACTGAAAACTTTGTGGTCACGGGCACGAAACCAACTTTACTACCATCCATCTTACCTACCACCTATATGATTACCACGATTTTGATAATGAAAACGAATCAAATGAACAACCCAAATATTAATGAACACGAAAATGAACTGAATGGGATATGAATTTAAATCACAGTCACAGCCACGGATCTTCCAATTTGGTAGTCCGTTAGCGGCGGTTAATAACCAGGCTAGTGGACCAGGAGGATTAAACTCCTCCTCCTCCTCCGGCGGTATGCCCATGCTCAATTTTACCGCCACGTCGCCGCAGATGCAGGTAATGCGAAGTTATGGTCAATAATCAGAGAGTTCCATTAACTCGACTAAAACAATAACCGATTGCTAATATCAACTCGTATGCAATAATATTTACCAAAGAGAATGCCAAAGAAATCTGCACAGAATTCATTTTATTTATGTTTTGTATAAATTATTAGCTAGTAATAGCTTGTCTGTATCCATACTTATGTGTAAAGTTTTGTATGATTTGAAGGAATGATTATTTTTAATGTTTTATCACTGATTACTGAAGAAATGCATATTTGAAATGAATTACTTTAAGGTTGAATTCTTAAATTTTTACTTATCAAAAAGTTACCAAATTGTTACCAATTGTTTGTTGTAGATTTCAGTGGCAGTCATCCTGGTAAATAACAATAATATCATAAATGTATCATTATCATTAGCTTTTATCATAATGCTTGAATATTAACTGTACTCGCATGCTTAGTCAAATGTATTTATGTCGCTTTTGAACTTCGGCTTGAAAGTGCATGTGTTGCAGGGCTTGTCAATATTTCTTTTTAAAAAATATAAATTAGAATTAGAATTCAGTTAGTTTTTTGCAAACTGCTTGTAGTGTATTTTTGCATGCTATTTTTCCGAATATTTTGACAAGCACTCACACATGCATACAAGCGCTCCACAATTACATATCCCCAATCTTAATCCCCACCCCAACCCCCTTCCTACACACACACACAAACACACACATACCACAGACCCATACCAGCTGTCATTTTTCATGTAGCCATTTCATTCCTTTTTCGCACTCAATTAAGAGTAATTTTTTTTTTTTGTAAATAACCCAAAAAAAAAAAAATAAAACAACCCACCAACCATCGTGAACCTGTCGCTTATATAAAAAAAAATTACTTGCAAGAACAAATCAAACTTACCAAGGAAAACAAACAAAAAATATTCTTCTTGCAGTCAACACCGAATGCCAATGCACCGTTCCCATTTAGCGCCGGTTCCCCAGCGCCAGCTAATATATTTGCGTAAGTAAGACAGAGACGGGTGATCCGTTGCGGCGGGCGGCTTCAGCCTTTTTTCTATCCCGCCGGGATGCGAGCGGGATAGAGAGATAGCGGGCACGAGTAAAAATGATAACGCATTTTTTTTTGTCTCCCTCTTTTCCCCACATTGAATTGGTCAATTTACGAATACAAGCAAACAAACAGCCAAACAACCACAAAACACTGATTGCTTTTATTTAAATACACACTAAACACAAACACAAACACACACAGCTGCTTATTAACCGTTTTAATTGCATTTGTGTTTAAACTAATTTTTAAGTCATTTGTTTTTGTGCGTTTGTCCAATTAGTTTTATTTTTGTTTAGTTGCAGCAAAAAACAAAAAAAAGAAAAGAAGAAAGTTAGATTAAATCTATTGCTCAGTTATTACATTAACATTTACAAGAAAGATACTTTTGTCTTGTCAACTGGAAATTTTGGAATAGCTTAAAAATTATATTATTTTGTTTTTTAAAACTTATAATGGGTTTCCTTTCAATTTACATTGTAAAACAGTAATTTTTCATGTTAAATGACATGCTATTTGCATTTGCATTTACAAGAAATTAAAATAGACTGAACTTTATTCATTAAAAAATTACAAATCTGATCCACTATAAATTGTTTCACATTACATTTTCATTTCCGGAAAACCATCAAGGAGTAAGAACTGTTTCATAAGAAGAAAAAAAATTGGTGTAAAGATCTCTTTATTAGAACTAAAACCAAGTTACCATTTTTCATTTTGCATTAACGTTGTTCTCAACGCATCCATTTCCCCCATGGAATCGGAATGCATATCGTCTTAATGTTATATTTAACTCTACATAAATAGGATATAAGATTTCGAATATCCTTTGTCATTGTTCAACTATTATTTGTGTTTTTCGTCTTATATTATTCGTGTGTGTATCATTGTTTTGTTTTTGTCCACAGCACTTGCCATTTCATTGCCATGATTATTTTGTTTGGCTAATAATGTTTCTTTTAGAGTTAAAGAATATAAAATATTCTCGCTCCGCAGCAGCCGCCCGCAGACGTTTTATAAAAATCAATGGATTAACATAACACTAATCCTATATATTATTAATCCGCAGCTTCAATCCGCCAGCCTCTGGCAATTCGGCGCAGAATTCTCAAACTGCGCGCCGCAAGATCCGATCTGCAGTGCGCCGTCAACCGCCTCGGTAGAAATGGCATCGCAGTCGGCCGACGAGATAGCAATTGCATCTGCTCAGGCCGCCATCGGATTAGGATTAGGGGAATTGAGGAGATCGCCAGTGGATAGACATGGAGGAGGAGATACAGGAATAGTGGCGGTAGCGACAAGGGAATTTTCAATGGAGACCGACAGCAGCAGCAATGGCAGTATCAAAAGTACACCGATTCAGAGACGAATTCGCCGACACCACGAGCACTGGCATCATCAGGAGCACCAAGTGCTTAAGCCGCCTCAGCACCATCAGCCGGCTCAGCGCACTCAACTGCCCCGTCAAAGCAAGTATTGCTATGTGCGTGAAGGTAGCTTGGACGCTAGACCCGAAAAAATCTCTACCAGGACCAGAGGACGCAACGCGGAAGAAGCAACCAAAGGAGGAGGACGAAATGGTGGTAACGCTGCCGCTGCCGCTGCCCCAACTGTAGCTGCCATAGCACCCAGGCAACAGCGACTGACACGACGCAACCGTGAGGCAAAATCTGTCGAAAACAAGGACAACCGAACGGGACAAACAGGATCTGGAGCAAAAGGTGGTCACGTACTCAGGAGTCGCTATAAAGTTGTGCGTCACAATAGCTATGAGAAGAACTTGTCCAAATCTTCCAAATGAGAGTCAAAAACCACCAGGATGAACAACACAAAGGAAGCGAACAGGATCTTGGGCAACAGGTGGTACTGATTGTGAGTTAAAAATCACCTGGATGCTACCAATCCTGCCGCACGTTCTTTCCACACCCTGCTGCGTATGGAGAGCAGAGCACTCGAGGATTGGCCAACACTATACATATAAAACAAACAACATCAATGATTACAAATTATATAAAAATTTCGTTCGTTTATTGAAGCACTGAACGCCGCACCATTAAAGCGGAACGTGTGTAATTTTAATAATATTTTTAAAAATTAATTTTTGTTGATTATAAATACTTAAACAATAATTATGTAATAATTATTTTGTGAAAAATGTGTAAAGAAACTGCTGCAACTTATACATATATACAGATGCGAATGAAAAATATAGCGCAAAAAACGTAAACCTACCATTATATATATTATACATACATACATTAAAGTAAAATTATCTGTTTAGACAATTTACGAACGCGGAAGTGTGATCTCAGCTAAGATGTGCTGAGAAATATAATGGTTGCAGCCAGATAAAGAGAGAGACATAGAGAGTTTGTATTAAGTCTTAGTTTTTGTTATTCATTTTAGATTTTAGATTTATATACAATTCAATACAAAATTTGTGTTGCACATGGAAGTACGTGCAACAACACAGTGGTGTGCAGCTGCAGAAGCCAAGGTGGAAAGCCAACAAATTAAAGCAAACAACTATCTAGCAACGTAAATAAACAAAACCTATAGCTAACAGATAACAGATAAGAAAGAAGAATCGATAAAGAGATGATGGGTGGCATTATTGATGGAGTGCGGAAACAGTTACGATTATGTGCATGTTTTTTATATACATATATTAATAAAAAACATTGAATATTTTATTATAATTTTAAATTGATCATTTTTAAGTCGAAAACAGAAATGGAAATCAGAAGTCTTAATGTTGAGAGAGAAAAAGGTATCATAATGTAAATAAGTAAATATATGCGGTATGATAATTTAAACTTGACTTTGTGCATTTATTTTGGCTCTGGCGGTTTTCTAGTGTGTTTTATATACAAATTCTTTATGAAATATATATACATTTATATATATATTAAAATTATCATTACAAGACAATAACCGGAACTCGGTATTTCTTTTATTTATTCTTAACCATGATTTCACTTCCAAAATGTGATAGACTGATTCATAACTAAGCCTATCTCGTTGAGCGTGTTTTCTAATTTTAATCAAATCTACATTCATAGTTTGAAAAGTCAAATTCCCTTATCAAAAATGCGAAATTTGATTTCTGCATATTTGCCCCTCAAAATACCTGTATTTTGCCCATAACTTAGCCAATAATGGCCAGAACGTGGAATGTAATACCTCGATGAGCTTGTTTTTTTTTTTAAATTCTAATCAAATCTGTATTAAAAATGTTTCCAGCTTTCCGCAAAAATAGATGACCCCTTATCGGAAATGCGAAATTTGGATAGGTCCGATTTTTCCATCAAAATTTTAAATTTGAATGGCCGTTAATCAGAAGTAAACTCACCACACTTTACTTACAATTCACAATACCGATAGTCGATAACGATTAGCCTCGATTGTTTATGCCAGCACTAGTAGTCACGATAAACACCACCTCTATTTCTGGCATCGGCAATTATTTCCCTAAGTTTATTATTTTTTGTTGCCCGAATTGCTTGTGTTTGCGCTGTTCGCCTTAGAAACCAAAATGTGCTGATCAATCCGGCATTTGGAGAATTGGTTGCGGATTTCGATTTGGATACCAATCCCAGTTTCCCAGTCGCGTCCGCTGCTATGTGTCTGTGTGAGTGCCCCTGTCCGTGCATTTGTGTGTGTGAGTGAGATCGGGAAGAAATTGTTGTTGTTGCTGCCGTTGGAATTGCCGTTGCCATCGCTTGTTGTTTGTGCATTTTCCATTGTCAAGCAAGGCAACGCAACATAAAAAATTAGAAAAGAAAAGCAACAACAAAAAAGGGCGGTAAAAGGGCAGAAATTTGGAGCACGGGAAATCCGAGTCGTTGAAGATGTTCTCGAAGAAGAAAAAGAAACCACTGATCTCGATGCCCAGCAATTTTGAGCATCGTGTGCACACAGGCTTCGATAAGCGGGAGAACAAATACGTTGGCCTTCCCCTCCAATGGGCTTCCATTGTAGGAAACAACCAGATCCTTAAGTCCTCGAACCGCCCGCTGCCACTGGTCGATCCCTCGGAGATTACACCCACCGAGATACTGGATCTTAAAACCATTGTCCGACCGCATCATAACAACAACAAGGCGGACACTACATCGTTAAATAGCAGCAGTACAATGATGATGGGCGGCTCCATGACACCGATGAATACAATGGCACCCGGGTCGCATCCAATGATGAACCATGGCACTGGCATGATGTTGCCACCGGAGACGGGTGGCATAATCCTGCCCAAGACTTCGCATGTGGCCAGATCCAACTCCCTGAGAAGCTCAAGTCCGCCGCGAGTTCGCCGAGTGGCGAATGTACCTCCAGCGGTGCCTGAGGAGGAGGGTCCAACGGCAGCAGGTCCGCCAGGAGGTGGCGGTAGTTTGTTCAAGCCACCCGGAGCCCATCCTTCCCTGCTCTATAACAGTCAGCATGCGCACGCCAATGGAGCAACAGGACCGCTGGCAGTGCGCACAGATCAGACCAACCTGCAGCAGTATCGCAGCAATCTGGCACCGCCATCCGGTGGCTCCATACCCCAGCAACAGCAAACTTCGCCAGTGGGTTCGGTGGCCAGTGGCTCGCGATCCAATCATTCGCACACGAACAATGGCAATAGCGGCGGCAGCTATCCTCCCATGTATCCCACAAATCATCATCAACAGCAACAGCAGCAGCAGGCCAAACAGGGTGGCGATCAAAACCAAAACCCCTTACATCCACATGCCCATCCGCATCCGCATCCTCATCAACATCTGGCTAAGTCGGCATCAAGGGCCTCCAGTTCTAGCGGAGGTGCCAGCAGTGCTGCCCAACAGCCTGGAGGAGCCGCTGGAGCGGCAGGTCAGCCAAAGCAAGACCAGCGCCTAACTCACGAACAGTTCCGTGCCGCCCTTCAAATGGTTGTTTCTGCCGGAGATCCCCGCGAAAACCTCGACCATTTCAACAAAATAGGCGAAGGCTCCACGGGCACCGTTTGCATTGCTACAGATAAATCGACAGGTTAGGATTCCCCAAATCTTGTCAAGAAATTGTATTAATGGCCTTGGGTATTTTTTATTTTGCAGGTCGCCAGGTGGCCGTGAAGAAAATGGACCTGCGCAAACAGCAGCGGCGTGAACTGCTCTTCAATGAGGTGGTCATCATGCGGGACTACCACCATCCCAACATCGTGGAGACGTACTCCAGCTTTCTGGTCAACGACGAGCTATGGGTGGTGATGGAGTACCTTGAGGGCGGCGCCCTCACCGACATTGTCACCCATTCGCGGATGGACGAGGAGCAGATAGCCACCGTCTGCAAGCAGTGCTTGAAGGCTTTGGCCTATTTGCACTCACAGGTGCGTGACCAGCATGACACTGCCCAGTTCTCGTTCCCTTGTCACTTGTCCCTTGTCGGGTTATTTCTTCTCCATTGTCTGGCCCAACTATGCATGTACTCACCATGGCGATTCTTTATGCCATTGCCTTGCCATTTGTGGCGCTTTCTTCGCCCTCCGCTTTCGCGTGGCTTTGGTTTCAATTTCTAAATGTTGTCACCAACAAAAGTAGTCGGCCGTACAGTGGGGCGATCACTAGCGCTGCACGCCCAAACTGCCAAGTGAAATCGCACGTGCATGCCCTACCCCAAAGAAATTGTTTGGCCAACAGCGTTTTTCAATTAAAAGTTATTTCAAGTTTATGGGAACTTAGACCAACCTTATTAACCAACTAGAATACTCGATTCAAATTATACAAACTGTAAGTTGGAAATAGTTAGGAAGTTTAGAAGACAAAATTTCCCAAGAGCAGAGAATTCGTATTGGGCGTTACAGGGTTGAGCTGGTTTCTTTTGTGCATTTTTGTCCCACGTTGGCTCGTGTAATGCGATAAGTGTCTGGGAGAAAGGGCGGTGGGTTGGGGGAAAACCGCAAACTGTGAGCACTTTTAACCAATTTCCCTTCTTCCCGTCTCTTTCGGTGCATCCGTTGGCAAACAGGGCGTCATTCATCGTGACATCAAATCAGACTCTATACTCCTGGCCGCTGATGGACGAGTAAAACTGTCGGACTTTGGATTCTGTGCCCAGGTATCCCAGGAGCTACCCAAGCGCAAGAGTTTGGTTGGCACGCCGTATTGGATGTCGCCGGAGGTCATTTCGCGTCTGCCATATGGTCCGGAGGTGGATATCTGGTCACTTGGCATCATGGTCATCGAAATGGTGGACGGTGAACCGCCATTCTTCAACGAGCCACCGCTGCAGGCGATGCGCCGCATTCGTGACATGCAGCCACCTAATCTGAAGAATGCCCACAAGGTCTCGCCGCGTCTACAGTCCTTCCTTGATCGAATGCTGGTGCGGGATCCGGCGCAAAGGGCCACGGCAGCCGAATTGCTGGCCCATCCATTCCTGCGGCAGGCGGGACCACCGTCGCTACTGGTGCCGTTGATGCGCAATGCGCGACACCATCCGTAGATGGAACTATCCAGCCAGAGGACTCAACCACTAACCAGGCTGATTGAAACCAATACCCCCCCACAAGACAACGGTCCCCGACCCGTGGGCATCCATCTATCAAATTCTAGTATTAACATTCAGTTTGGCAACTGTACTTATATACCCGAAAATCCCTCGAAACGTTGTAAAGTCATTTAAGCCAGCACACCCACATATTTTAGCCAAGCGACACTATTTCTATATCACACTACTACAGCTATCGTTCCCGAAGAGAACGCAATGTGCCTTTCATTCGCCTCAAAAATCCAAAAAAAAAAAAAAAAAAAAACAAAACATATCCATAATACGGATTGAAATCGATATAGCATTTATCTGTCCCGAGGATCGTAATATATCGATCCTTAAAACACATTTATATATATATATATGTAATAATTTCTGCATTTTGCTCTCTCTTCTTGTCAATGTTAATTTGTGTGCGTGTGTGCATGTGTTTGATTTTTTTTAACAAACATTTTAAACATTGTTCGAATATATATAAGCTAAGAGATAATGTTAAAAATCGATATATATATATATATACACATATATTTTTTATAAAAACAAAACAACTTAAACCTAAGCAAAGTGAAACAACGAAGGTGTGAATCGAAAAGAGACAGAACCGTGAACACGGAAAACGAGAGAGAAAGAGATACATAGATAGGTTGAGAAGAATATTAAATTTTGGACATATATATATATATATATATATATATATATACGTTAATGCATCTGATACATAACCGTGCGAAATGTTCACACACTCCCGACATACATTATATATTTAAAGACATTCCCGATTTCGAAAATATTTTAAATCTTTTAGCTTACATTCTTTGTTCTGTTTTTTTGATTTAACCCGTGTAATTATTAATTAATAATGAATAAACTTAAATGCAAAAATGTTTAATTTTGTTGTTGTTCCGTTGATCGAATTTGATATAAATCAAAAGATTTATCTTTAGGTCGATAATTTCTCATAATTAAAAACAAATTTTAGATTTTGTTGTTTTTATTACTGGTTGATTGATTGTTTGATTGATGGTTGTGAAGAATACATAATTTGTGCCCGTGTAAATATCCGTCAATATATTCGCGAAATATATATTAGTATTTAACACGGACATGGAGGATGGTGGGGAGGTCTGGTCTCTAGATAGTGTGCGTCGTGGTCGTGGGCGTGATTGAGTGAGTCTTGTGTGAATGTGTATATGTGTGTGTGTGTTTGTGTGGTGTGTGTGTGCGTGTTTTTGTTTACAACATAAAATTACAAATATATTACATACACAAAAAATCAATTGCGAACTAAGAACTAAGGGGCAGATCGGGCTGCCACATAGCTAGCCATATGATTCGATGGATTGGGATTGGAGTTAGGGATAGGGATTTGTGGCATGAAGTATGGGGGCACTGGACTTTTGAATACCCAATACCGCCTAGTTGCGCTTTCGCAGGGCCAGACGAGCACCAATGGGGCGCTTCGGCTTTGTCTCCTCCTTCTGCTGTTGCTCCGATTCCTCGGCGGCAGCATCATCCAACGCCTCCACGGGCGCCGCCTTAACGGGTTTCGAAAGCTTGCGACGGCTCACTAAGGGAGGGTAAAAATATATGACATTAGTATTGGAATTATATATTTTTTGAGCCCTAAAAATTACTCATTCGACCTGTTAGCCAGATCAGAGTTTAACTAACTACTTCTTGCTTAACTTACATGCTGAATTGCCCTTGTAGCCCTTGGCTGGACTGGATGCTGGGGCGGGTGCTGGCGCGGATGCCGGCTCCTCCTGCTCGCCGGAGTTAGAATCCTCGCTCTTCTTGGCTGGCTTGCTGGGACTTGGTGGCTTCTCGGCGCGGTGTTTCTTGGCGTTCGCCTGACGACGCTTTAGAGAGTTGAGGAAATCATCGTTGGAACGGAATGGCCGGATAACCGGACCGACCTTCTTGGGCGCCTCAGTGGTGGTGGTGGTTGTCGAGCTAGCAAAGGCCGCCTCATCGCCCTCTTCGCCATGATCACCGTGTTCGCCGACCTCCTCGTCGTATTCCTCACCCTCACCGCCGGCATCTACATGTGCTGGCGCCGGTGTCGTCGTAGTGGTCACCTTGGCTGCCTTGCCAACAGGACGGCGTAGGGCGGCGATCCTTTTGGCCGGCGATACAGCCGGACCACCTTCATCCTGGGCAGAAACCAGGCCGTAGCACAGTACGCAGACGATGAAGAGCAGGCAGCTGTAAGTACAAAAAAACATTTATTAATATTGCAAAAATATGGAATGCTAAATGGAAAATTCATAAATCATATCTTTATCTTTTTAGTCAATAATTTTAAAAGGAAATTAGCATTTAATTCCAAACGCCCCTTTTTTTAATATTGATTAAGTGCTTAAATATTCAAATTTTGCATAAATCAATTCTGGGTAATTGTCGTAAAAATCCCAATGGTCGTTATACGATCAATGTTTCATTAATTACCAGAATTTACTGGAAAAACTTGATTTCTCAAGACTTTTAAGGGGATTAGTACTTAGTACTCCAAAACTTGAAATGCATAAATCAAGATATTAAAGGGATTTGTTGGTCCCAAGATTGGGGATAATGTGGGTGCTAGTGAATCCCCCCTGGGCAAGGTTGCCCAACCACGCATCTAATCCTCGTGACTTCCAGCTCGAACCCAACTTTTGGGTGATCAGCCAAGTCTGGTTGGACGGGTTATTCAATACAGAACCTGAAGTCGTAAATATTGCGTACATAAATATGTACCCGCCTCTACAAATATACAGTGTAAATAGACTAAGTAAAACTAACTAACAAAATCTATATAAACTCTTCTATTCCTTATTGAAGTAACTAATTAATTTTATTTTGCAATCATAAAAGTTAAATAAATAAACCAAAACCTAATAAATACATCAAAGCAGCCATTAAAAGTTGGAATTTTTAGAGACAAATAAAATCATTTATGGAAATGGAAGCCACTGTTTATTAGACTTTAAACAAAAAGCTGTAAGATTTCTTAGTATTTTTATATATATATATATATATATTTCGCTTGCCGTCGGAGGACAGAGATGTGCTAACAAATATTAATGTGTAAAGGTCAGGCAAACGGGTTTGTTCACTTTCGATTTCGATTTGGATATGGATATCGCCTTAATGCCGAATTCGAATGCGAATGAATGTTGCTCTGTTTCTGTTAGCTTCTATGGCGGTTGTTTTTTGTAGTTTTGTATTTGTTTTTAGCCGCTGGCAACGGTGGCGGCTTCACTGAGTCGAAGTCAATTGCTCATATTTTATGCAAAACAAAAGACTTAGGCAGCGAACTCGTTTTGAAATTCTTTCCTAGGCAACGGCGACGTTGATGTTGCTGTTGTTATTGTTATTGTGATTGGAAAGAAGGGGGGTTGGGGGTTGGGGGTGGGGTGGCGACAGAGTGGCGGGTGGGTGAGTGGCCAAAGGAAACAGGTGCTTATGCAAAAGGCAGTCAACAAACCAAGTGAGAAACCAGTTGGCAGCCAGCACTACGCCAGAATAAATTTAAGTGCTCGCTCTCTGCACTGCAGTTGGCTAATAACGGTAAAATGTGCAAGCCAAGTTTTATTTTTAGCCAACACCAAACACCGTTGTTCATTTTTAATTCATTTAAATATTTTTCTTTGATTACTCATTTACTTTGCATTTAGCTTTGCTGCATTTCCCCAATAAGGTTTATTTGCTTTTTGGGGTCAATCGATTGCTTGGCTTGGATATGGATATGACTATGGATATGGATATGGATGTGGATGTGGATGTGGCTGCGGATGGCCCAGTTAAGCGAGCGCTATTATGCAACTGGCAAAGGTGAAAGGCGTGGGCTCAATTTTGTGGGTGCGTGCCTGGCATCTCCAACTTCCCAGTGCCCCTGCTCGCCACGCTATGGAATTATTTTGTTAAAGTCTTCAAGCTATGCTTTTCTCTGTACTAATCAGTCTTGCACGTTTTGGTCACGAAAATTACCAGTTAAGAATTTGCGTTCTTAGAAAACAATAAGCTATTGTGACATCTTAAGGGTAATACCCGATACCGGCATTTCAGATGTGCAAAAGTATAAGCAATAATAAGCTTATATAATATCTGACCCCTATTTATAAACATTGTCACATGGTCTTTCTGATGAGCCCAAAAAAAGTATCTCCAATCTCTAATTTCCAGCCAGGTTGATTGTCGGTTTCTATGAGTCTGGGCATGACATTTCGACTAGGGCCCCCTCCGCCGGCTTGAGCTTCTTGGCAACCGGTTCCGTACATTTGAAATATGCCAACGGGAACAATCGCAGACGATGGCAGTCCACACCCACAACACGTTGAGATGGTAGAGGGGCAGATTGGCAAGCTGGAGGACAGGTAGACACAGGTACCAGGCACATTTCTAGCCGTGGGCTTGTTTGTAAACCGTCTTTAGTGCCAGCCGGTTATATAAGCCGACATTAGTTTGCGAATTTATGATAAGCATCGCGTTGGCGAGAATATCGTTGGGCAGGCGGAACCACTTATTTAATGCAGCCTCATCATCATCATCATCTCATCATCCTCTTTGAGAGCTTGGTCAACAAAAAATTGGTTTGACTTTTAATTTATTTCATTTCATTTCGCTTTTTTTATTTTGTTTCGTTCTGTTTTAGTTTTTTTTTTTCCTTTTCTGCTGGCTGGCTTATGGTCTTCTTGGCTTTTAGTTCGATTTAATGGGATGGCGTCATTGGGCCTACTGCGGATGTGACAATGGAAGCCACAGTGGAACTTGCAAAGCTTAAAGCCATTTATTGTGTTTGTCAAAAACACTTAAAAAAAAAACTTTAAATACCGGAAGTTGGACGGTTTTTTTATGTCTAGTTTTTATAAATTTTGTATTTTTGGGTATCGTTTTAAATGTATTTTGAAAAGTGTCATATTAACGAAACCCATTTGAATGGAACTTAAATGATTGATGCTTCATTTTATTTCCTTGGAAATAACTTTTTAACCCTGAAAAATAGATTTATTCTATAAGTTTTTGAGACACTCGAAAACTTTGTGAAGAATGTCAGAAAAGATATCTTTAAAGATTGAGATTGATTTTGAGACTATTAAGGCCTTTCCAACTCAGAGAAGATCTTTGAGGAAAAACCTAAAGATAACTTTCAGAAAAACAGTTTTCAAGTTTCCAAGAATCTATTTCAGTTGATCTATCAATTTCCTAGTTAAATACAACACCTGCCGCCCCAGTTTCATCTATGCACGTTTTCTAATTGCCCTGGCGCCCTAATTACGCGTTGACGCCCTCTTGCCCCCTGCCCCCTGGCCCCTGCCGCTGCCAAAGCACTTGTGGCATATATAGTATGTATGTGCAGGCACTTATTACAGGCCAAACGTGCACATTCGACACCGAATCGGATTCAAATTCGAATTCAATTTGATTGTAACTGCTTTTATTGCTGCCGCGTTGGATCAAGTTGAAGCCAAGTAAGCCAGTTGAAATGTGGAAAAGTGGTATGGGGTGGAGTGGAGAGTTGAGTTGATCTAAAATTAAGGCGAAAAAAGCCAAGTGGCTTAAGGCAAGTGGGTTCAATAACGGTGCATTGTGTCGTTGTTAGTTGGCCAAGTACGTGTTTTGATTTTTGGTACGTGCTTTTGTTGTTGTTGTTGTAGTTGTTGTTATGGCTACCACTGCTGTTGGCTGCATGCCAAATCGATCGAGTTCGCTGCCTAAGTCTTTTGATTTGGCCCAGAGTGGTGTTTATGTTTTTTTTTTTTTTTTTTTAGTTTTTTTTTGTCTACTTTATATTTATTCGCAGTTCGGCTCGCATTGAATTCGCTTTGGCCTATGAAGTGCAGCATATTACCAACACACATTGCCAATTTCAGACCGAAAAAGTCCTTGAATCTTGAATGTTGAATCTTGAAGGCATCGTGTCGTTGTTTTATTTTTGTTTTTCGTATATATTTTATTTAAATACAAATTGCATAATGCTTTTGTGGAACGGAAAATCCTGATTTTGCCGTCAACCTGGCGGCTTTACCAATATCTCTCTCTCTCTCTCTCTCACTCAACAGCAACTCCAACTCCATCTCCATTTCGATCTCGATCTCGAGTGATTAATTCCCGCATACAACGCAGCGATTAACACATATATCTATGTACGTACGAGTATATATGTTACACACCCGATCGGCTAGTGGTATTGCATTTATGCGGCGATAAATGCATGCAGATATGCGGTCTGTCTGTCAGCTCGCATTAAAAATGCAACCGTTAATTTATAAGACAACCGCAGTAATTAATCCAATATACTTAATTTGCTGCAGCTGCGGAAAGTCCAGGAAAGTGGTGTCATATATATAGTATGCTGAAGGGGCGGGTGGATAGGGGCGAGGCAACAGAAAGAGGAGCCACATCAGCTGTAGACGACCTTGAAACCCCCTCTTTAGCGTCTCCTTTGAATCTATCTTCATCATCATAAGCTTTAACTTTTGCCATTTCTTTGCCGGCAAAATGCCAACCTCACAGATCCCGTGACAACTTCATTTGGCAAATACATCATGATCATCATTATGATCATTATCCAAATCCACAACATCATCGTCATGACCAAACTTTGGCATTTGCGGCTTCGCTTGATAGCCAGCTAAAGCTAGCTCAGTTCCAGTTTGGAACAACGGCGTGTTAAAGTTCAAATTGGCATTAAGACGAGCTTACACCTGCATGTGGTCGTGCCCCAAAAAGGTTGCAAGTCAACCTGCGACATGCAACCAAGTCGATTGCCAATTCATTACGACAGTTGGCAACAAAGTTGCAATATAAAATTTTAAATTTAGGAAATTGAAGAGAGACATATGAATTAGTGCCCCTAAGAAGTTGATAATATAAAAGAAGCTATAGTGTCTTAGAGCTTTTGGCTATTTTATAAGCTAATTTGGGCCTTAAACTTCCCAATCTTTGAGATTTCCGCAATAAGAATTTCTCATTTAAGCCGTTAAAGTCATCACTTAAAAAAAATTGTTATATCTTCTGCCAATCACATTATTCAATTTTCAAAAAAAAAAAAAAAGATTCCTAATAGTTTTTATATTTATAGATCACTCACATGTTGAAGTACTTCATATTGTCTGGGGTGTGTGTGAGGTGTGTGTGTGTGTGTGGTTTTAATGCGGGTGTCTTGGACCAACAACAATTGCAATTAACTCAAAGAGCGCGCGCGTCTTAAACTTAAACTAGAAAAAAAACACTTGTATATATTTTTGATGTTTTTTTTTTTTTTATGTTGAGGGGGTTGGGGGAGTATTGAGGGTATCGGCTTTTTGTTTTTTTGGTAGCGAGCGGAACTGACTGGCCACGATTCACGATCGACTTCTAGAGGCAGACTGAACGATACTTATGCCGTGTGCACAGAGTTAACCTACGGCCATCCAATATTTTGTGGCAGCGACGGTGACTTCGACGGTGACTGCGGCAGCGGCAGCAGCAGCAGCAGCAGCAGCCGAGCAACAGGTTCAGACCGCCCTAGCCAAACCGCCTGCACCTCCAACCCGTGGCCACTGTCTCCTCCTCCTCCTTCTCATTCTCCTTCTCCGCCTTCGCTCAAAGCTCTGCCTGTGCACGGTAAGAAAATTTAGATTAGTTTCACTGATATAATAGCTCTCATTCTGGATACATAAATTCAATGTTCTTTCTTTATATATCTTTCCTGTATATCCTTGAATTTGGGGAAATTAACTTTTCATATATTTCTGAAAGTTAAGATAGGATTAGCTTTTGTTTTCTAAGACCTCTTGTCTACATCATTATTCTCTGATAATCTAAGATTTTGCCTTAATTTATGTTAACTCATTTGACACAACTTTTCCAAATGCAGGGAAGAGGTTTAATCTTTTATTAAAGACATCATTGTTTAAACTTTTGGGCGGCTTCCGATGTCCATATAAAACTGATTTCCATTAACCATTTATTTACATATCAAAATGATATATTAAAAATGCAAATTTTGAATGCTTTTTCACCGTGTGTCCCATGCGCCTCGACGGTCGATCTATGCTGGCAGAGAGTGCAGGAGTACTTCTGGTTTTTTGGAGCCAATTTGTCACGGGCCTGGGCTCTGGTTATGACAGGTTTTTCGAACCCAATCCACTCCAATCCAAGCCAAGTCAAGCCAAGCCAAGCCAAGCCAAGCCAGGCCAGGCCAATCCAATCCGAGCCGAGCCAAGCCGAGCTGAGCGCAGCCAACATTCAACATTCAACATTCGCAATTTGTATATTTTATTAATTAATTTATTGATTTTAGGCCAATTGTTGTTTTGGCTCTTTGCCGATCTGGTAAATCCCGATCAAGCGACCCATCCCCAATCCCCAAATGCCCCGTCACCCAAAAACCCAACCCAGGGCACATCTGTCCCGCATGTAAATCTCTTAGTTCACGATTAAAAATCAGCCAATGAAACACACAAAAGCTAAGTAAGTGAGCAGACACTGCAACTTATCACCGAATTTTGAATACTCTAAAGAAAAGTTCATGATTTTCAGTCATTCAGATAAGCTTGTAAGTTCTAAGGACAATAGATGCTATTGTAGTTATTGGTAAGATTCATTTTGGTATTTCTATGCATGCTGATCCTTTCTTAAAATGTATTTAAAAAGAGATTTTTATTTATTTAATAGTTAAATAAATAAACAAAACTCGCTGGCAAAAAAAAACCACTTAAAATCGATGTCCAAGTAAGAAGACCTGAACCAATTGAAAGTATAGGATGACACCAAATTAAAAAGCTGTAAATACAGATAAAGCCAGAAATATTTATGCATATTTTGTGGGTTCGTTGCGGCCTTGAACTGATTGATCAGGGGCGGAATGAAGGGGCGAAAAGGGGTAGGGCAGGGCCAGAGGGACAGAGGGACAGAGGCAAGGTTTGAAGGGTGACGGGCTGCAGACGTTTAAGCAAAGTGACAAAGATGATAGACGCTAATTAATCTTCCACACCCAACTAACGATCGCTTTGAACTCTTGCAGATGTTCTCTGCGGCGGCCAGGTGTTGATTTTTTTTTTTTTGGCGGCACTCGGCTATTGCCCATACTAATTAACTCCAAGCTCCAGCAGACTGGGCCAACTCACCTTGAACTACAAAATGTCAGCCAAAATGCCAAAAAAAAAAAAAAAAAAAAAGAACAACAAAAAAAATGTATATAGTAAAATACAAAAATGAGAGAAACATAGATGAGAGGCAGATACACAGATACAACGCAAGTAGAAACTTGTTAAAAAATTATTAATAAAATATGCAGTGGGACAATGGCTGCCATTTCCATCCCAGTTCCATTAAGATCGAAATCAAATCCAAATGCAAATAGCTCCATGCAAATGGAGCTAATGGACCCGGTGATTCCGGCATATTTCCATGCCCATCACGTATTTAGGGGTCAGATTAATACCCTAAGAGATACAAAGATACGGACCCAAATAAAAGACCATTTTTATGCAAGTTATTTTATGAACCACTTTAGTTTGGTTTTGATCAGACTTTCCGTTTCTTGGGCTTAGCTCTAGTTTAAATAACATATTACATAATCAGATCTTTATATGATATATATATATATATATATTGGTATATTGCTTCAGATTACTGTTGATTATTCCATTTTCTCCATTAAGGCAGCTAATAGACAGTCTCATCGTTGGTATATGCTGTTCCAGCCAGAAGATCTATGATATGGGGGTTAAGATAATGATAATGGGGGGACTATCAAACCAAACCAAACCAAAAGAAACAAAAACAAACAAAAAAAGATCAGTGAAAAACAAAGGAATACTGATTTTATACACATTATCATTTTATTTGCTTGACGCTTGCAATTCCATTTGGATGCCAGTCGATTCGAGTAGATTCGAGGACAAATGCAATTACAAACGTGGTTAAACTAGAGAGTACAATTAAACATAAACGTAATACGAATGATCATCATAATAATAGTGCAAATAAAGTACAAAGTTAAAATGAAAGCAGCGCTTCGATCTCAATATCGAAGTCCGAACTTAGCAGCTATATTTGCGGCTATCGATAGACGGTTAGCGATTTAATAACTAACTAACCGACTACCAATGTAAGTTCGAAACTTCAAAACATCGCCATTATCTTCGTTACTGTTTTTAAATGCAAATTTCGCTGGCGCCTCTCACTCTGTACACACTCTGTAAAAACAAACTACTACTAATTTTCAAATTACAAAACTCAAAAAAGGGTTGGGGGCATTTCGAAATCATAAGTAAAATCAACATTAATTGGAATACAAAATCATACAAATTGTAGAGTGCTAAGCTGCTGCCGTTTCTGTTGTCGATAGCTAGATGGCGCCATCGAACAATGATATAAATAAATAATTTGCTTAGCTTACAACTAGAACATATTGGATATTTAATACTTAGATGTAGCCTTTTACACACACAACACTGTGTCGCATCTTTCATTTTGTATAGTTAGGTGTACTTTGCTTTACTTTACTTTACTTTAGTTTAGTTTAGTTTAGTTTCGATTCATGTTTCGCTCTGTCCATGGCTAGAGACAGCCTATTCTATTTCGTTTTCGTTTTCGTTTCCTTTTCCGGTTACCATCAAAGGCCAAATCGGTATACTTCCGCTTTGCCGCTAAGGTTGAATGTTGGAAATTAATGATTTTGAATTAACTCCTTTCGAATACTCTTCAAAATCCGATTTAGAATCGGAAACTAGAAACCGAAACAGGACAGTGTATTTAGTTTGCTTTTGCGTTTGCTATTTAAGTAACTGATTTATACTCGCTTCTTTTTCGATATCGCGCAATTCGTTCCATCTTGTACATGTAAAACTATAATTATTTATATAAAAAAAGAGTGCTCATTAAATGGAATACAAGTTAAAGCTTTGTAAAGTGGCTTTAACTTAGTTCTGGTTTGTTGGTTGCTCGATTCGTTTGTTGTTAGCTTACAGGATATGATCTTGGGTTATATATATATATCGTTTAGCTCTGTTCATATGCGATTATTTGTTATCTTCTCGTTTCATTACAACTAAGAACAACGTTTGGCCAATCGGATTTGCTACACAACAACAACAAATATCTCTCTCTATATATATATATATATATCTATAAATATATATATATATATATAGTTGTATCAAAAAAAAAAAGGTCATACAAGGCATCAATATGTAAAAAAGGGAGACGTCGAAAGAATCAACTCAATCAAACTTCTTCTCCCTTTCTACGGCATGGATTCACTTAACTAAACTACAGCTCACATCGTTGTGGTGAGCGTGGTGACAGAAGACAATAGCAAGCCGTACAATACCATATCGTATTTATATTTATATAAATTATATAGTATATATAGAATAACGATGCCACAAAACAAATCCATGGTTTATCTCTGACCCGCTTGACGTTGCCAACTCTGTTCTAGACATTCTCACCATTCAGTTTTTGATGTTAGGTAAGCGTTAAACGAGTTGCATTGGCTTTACATATTCTTTAAGATACAGTTTTAGTATTAGTTTTAGTTTCAGTTTAGTTGTAGTTTAGTTTTTAGATTGTAAATTACTCAAAAAATATTTATAGATTACTGTAGCATGTATGTTTGGAGCGTAAATTTAAGATAGTAGTTGCAGTTGCCATTCAAATTGCAGTTGCTCTCTCTTTTTTTTTCTCTCTATATCAGTATCAGTTTTGCATAGCTATAGTTTCGTTGGGGCTGGAGACGCTTGACTCCTGGCTCCAGCTGCATTGCCATGCCTGGGATCTGGCATCTGGGATCTGGGATCGGATTGGATCGTTTTGGCGTTCATTTCAGCGATGAATTGGCTGGCAGCGTGGCGGAGCGTTGAACATTAACAGCATACGGTTTGTAGGAGGAGCGCGTCGATTGGCTGCCAATTCGGTTCGGGAGATGAATGAATAGTGATGATGTTGTATGATATAGTGGTCATATGATAGTGATGATCATGATGATGATGATGATGATGATGAGTTGATGGTGGTTAGCAGCGACAGTAGGAGGGAGAGAGAGAGAGAAAGATAAATACCAATCGAGATTAGAGACAAACAATACAGATACGGGGGAACACAAAAGCCGGGGGATTCACACAATTTAAATCAGTTAGTAAGGGTGATTTGAGAAGCACTCTGACTCCTGTTGACTCCCTGGCAACGTCAAGGGCTTTGGTCCTTGGCCTGTTGTTTACCTGGGCGATATCTTGCTGCCATCGGTGCTGTTGTTATTGGACGAGTTGGCTTTGTATCCACTCTTTTGGATACGCTTCTGCAGGCGCGCCACCCACACCGACTGCTCCTCGGGCGTGGCGGCCAGCAACAGCATGTCTCGGGCACTGCGCGGATCGTGATTCAGCTTGCAGGGCGCCAGTGGGTCGTGTTTGTCCACATGCTCCTTGTGAATCTTGTTGCGGCATCTGGAAATGTAGATACACAACAACATTATATAAACGTTTAAGTTATTAAGTTTCTTATGTAAACTAACCTCTTGCATTCGTAAGCCGCCGGCGGCTTGAACATGTGCCACAAAGGCTTCGGGCACACCTCGCAGGCCGTAGGCATGTGGTAGGTAATGTGGACAAACTCATGACCTATTTAAATGAAATAAATTAGTCATTAAAGTCATTACACTTTAAGTCAGCTAGCTTAGTTGTTACCTTTGTGGACTATGGTGCCTGGGCGCTCCTCGTTGCTGTTTCCGTGCAGCACACTCACATCCAGTTGACTCTGCTCATCAGGACGATGAGAAGCGCCCTCACCGGCGTACAGCAGCTGGAAGATGCGCGGAATCTCTTTGGCATCGGCGCGTATGACATCGCCCTGAGTGACGCTACGAACGTGGTATACCTTGCTGCAGGGTTAAAAGAAATCGCATTAAAAACCTGTTTTTTGATAGTTTTCTTAAAGAGTTTTGAACATACCTCAGGTCCAGGATGAGCACGGCATCCGTTGTGTTGTGCTTGTCAATATCCGTGTTGTAGAAGATGATCTTCCGCGACGACACGATGACGTACTGCCGCTTCCAGCCGTGGCCACGTCGACGGTTCTGTTTGTTGGGCACACTCAGCCAGCCCTCGAAGACCGAGTCCTGTGTGAGGGAGAGCAGAGAGGAGTGCTAGAGACGCCCGAACGGAGTGGATGAGCATATGTGTATATGGTGTAAGTTTTGTGTGAGTGTTCTGTGTGTTCGCTGGGCACTGGCAAATTATGCTTACCTGGCTATCCTCGGGATCGTTGTCCGCCGAAGACAACGACGCTGTCTCGTTGAGCTTGCTCTGCAGGTGCTCGATCTCGGTGGCCTTGCAGTCGATTTCCATGACCATCTTTTGCTTTAGCTGCTGCTCCTCGGCGTATTGTTGCTGCAGGTCCTGGTGCTTTAGCAGCATCTGGTTGTACTTGTCGCGCTCCTGCGACAGCTCCTGCTGCAATCGACGCATCTCTTTTTCCTTTTTTCGCAGCTCGGCAGTAGAACGGGCCTTGTTCTTTTGCTCTGTGAAGTGAAAGTTTTTGGAAGGTAATTAGAGGAGGTGTTTGGAGAAAAATACGATTGCAACTTACTGGGCAGGTCGGAATCGCGACGGTTCATCACTTCGGCCAACTTGTTTACCGCCACCTGTTTGAGGAGGATTTCGTTCTTGCACTTGTCCAGCAATTTGTTTATCTCTTCGTCCTTGCTGTTCCTCATCAGTGTCAGCTCGTCCTGCTGCTTCTTGTGCTGCTGGACAAGATCTTCGTATTCTACACTCTTCTGACCCAGCTTTTTGTGCAATTCGATTTCGGCCTCCTTGAGTGTGGCCAGGGCCGCTTCCTTGGCATTGATCTCGTTGCGGTGCTTCATAACGAAGTCCTTTAGCTCCAGCTCTTTGATGGTCTTTTCCTTCTCGAGATCGGCTACAGTCTCTTCGGCAATAGAGCGGGCCAAGGCCTCCGAATCCGCGCGGGCAACGGCCACCTGCACCTGGTGCTTTAATGAAACGCGTTCCTCCTCGAGGTCCTCGATCTTGGCCAGTCGCTCTGCACTTTCCTCTCGGTTCTCGTTGGCCTGTGTCTTGTACAGCCGTGAGAAGCACTGCTCCGCCTCAAGCTGGGCTTGCAGCTCACGGTTGTTGGCCAGCGCCTCGTGGTGAGTGCTTTTCAGCTGGGTAAGGTCCTCCTCGAAGCGACGCTTAGCCTCGCGTTGTACTGCCAGTTCCTTCTGCATCTGATTCTCTCGGGATCGCAGGTGGGCCACCTCCGAGCTGTGCAGACTTAGCTCCGAAAGCAGGGCATTGCGTTTACTGTGCTCCTGATCGAGCTGGGATTGCAGAGCTGCCACTTTCTCAGACTCCTGGCGACACTCGCCCTCGAGCTTTTGGAGTCGCAGCTGGATTTGGCGATAGTCCACGGAAAGCATACTTAATTGTCGCTCCTTCTCCTGCGAATGCTGGTCGGCCTTGATGCGAGCGGACTTCTCCTCGTTGAGCTTGGACTGCAGAGCCTTAACCTCTTGCAGATTAGCTTCCTCGCGGGAGACAAGGCGCGATTTTTCGGTCTCTTGATGGGCCTTGACCTCCTGTTGGTATCGGCCCTGAGCCGCCTTTAACTCAAAGTCAAGACCGGCATGCGCCTTTTCGAGGTCACTGATCTTCTCCAACAGTGCACGGTTGTCCTCCTGGGCTTTCTGCTCGCGACCCAGTGTCCGCTCGATATCATTGATCAGCGTCTGCATCTTGTTCTCGGCCTCCTTGTGCATCTCCTTAAGCTGCGATCGCAGATTCTTCTCCTGCACCACCAGCGCCTGCAGCTCGGCATTCTCCTGACCCAGTTCATCCTTGTGCTTTTGAAGCGTATCGATCATATCGACCATGTCTCGCACTTTGTCCTCCTGTGACTTTACAGTGAAGTCCAGCTCGGCGTTGTGCTTCTTCAGCTTCTGAGTTTGCTCCGTCTCCGTTTTATAGCTCTGCTCCATCTCGAGCAGCTGCTTCTCCAGCGAGACCACCTTGTCGTTTATGTTGAGGTCACGAGCTCGCGTCTTCTGCTCATTCTCCAGATTGCGCTGCGTTTCTACGAGCAACGCCTCCGTCTTCTTGCGCAGCTCGATTTCTTGTTCTACCTTCTGCATGGCAACCTTGTAGTTGTGCTGGCGCAGAGCCAGATCCTTCTCGTATTCTGAGGCTATCCGCTGTAGCTCCGCCTCGCGCTTTGTTATCAGCTCGATTTGCTGCCGCAGACCTGCGTCCTGTTGCTCAAGCGCCTCCGATCTACCGCGCTCCCTTTCTAGCAGTGCCTCCAGGCGCTTCAACTCATTGGAATTCGATGGCCGATGGCGGTGATTGTGCCCGTGGCCGTGATTATTACTGGCAGCACCGCTGTTCGCCACATTGGTCTCCTTGGACTCAGCGTCCACGGTGTCACTGGACAGCAGCTGATAGTCGCCTGTGTAGGTGAAGCCGATAAACGGCAGGTGGTTGCCATCGAAACCCTTGGGAACGGGAAATACTTCTTCTGGCTTCTCATCCCTTTCGATGTCTTCGAAGTTTCGCGTATCATCATCGGATGAGAGTTCCGGCACAACTGGCGGCACACTCTCACGAATATTGTCGAACGACCAGGTATCGTTGCGGAAAAATGGATGGGCCTTTATGTCCTCGATGCCATAGCGTCCCAAACGTTGCGTCCGATCTGTGAGGAAGGCACGGATCAAGGCCTTGGCCTGCTCACTAATCTCCACCTCGGGTGGAAAGCTAAGCGAGTTTTTGTGGTCCATGATCTTGCCGTAGGTACCGACCAGAGAGTCCGCATAGAAGGGCGTTTCACCGAATAGCATCTCATATAAAAAGATGCCCACCGACCACCAATCGCACTCCCTTCCATACTCATTGTCAACGCCCTGCGATTGCAGCACTTCCGGACTAATGTAATCCGGCGTGCCCACCGCATTGCTGGACACCACTTGACCATTGGCACCCATTCTCATACAGGTTCCAAAGTCGGCCAGCTTCAGATGGCCATAGCTGTCGAGAAGCATGTTGTCCGGCTTGACGTCGCGATGGACGAAGCCCATGTTATGAATAGTGTCCAGAGCCAGTACCACCTCCATCGTGTAAAAGATAGCCCACTTCTCTGGTATGTCGTAGTCACCCATCAGGGACACTATATCGCCGCCGGGCATGAAGTCCATCACCATGTACAGATATTTGGCATCCTGCGAAGAGAGATTTAGTGATAAGTTTTGGGATATAACTTTCATTAGCAGATATTTTATAACTTAAGAAGATCTCGTTTTCCAAATCCACTCAATTACTACATAATCTTAGAATCCTATCTTTGACAAACCTTAACTGATTCTTATAGAACATACAATTGTTTTAAGTTTTATAGACGGTTAACAACGATTTTTTTATTCAGATATGGCATTTGCTTTTCAGTTTAAGATAGTGATTAGTAACGAAATCGAAAGAAATGAAAACATGTGTAATTATGAAGAAAAGTGAACTTGTCGTCAAATCAGATGCGTAAAAATCCAAATTTTTTGAGGGACACATCGATTTTTGGGTCCTCAAGATCTTCCGGTTGCGGTTCAAAGTGGAGCAACTCCTCAATAGTATAACGTTGAACCACTTTTGGGATCTTTAAGTTTGACATATTCATTGGAGTTCTAAAAGTTTTACCGAAAGACCACTTTGGAATCTCACGATAATGAGTGATATTTCCATTGCGTCTCTCCCCTACGAGTGGATGAGTTGGTGGACGCCAGTTCCGATTGGTGGGGACATCAGGATTCGCATTCCTTATAATCTGTGATGGCGCATTATTGTTTTCATTAAAGTTCGTTAAAATTCCCTTGTTTTTAGCTGGTTTCTTATTCTCCTTTTCGGCCTCAATCTTGGCCAAGTGTCTAGCACGACGTATCTCGTTCCATTGTTTGGCCGTGGGTATATATCTTTTGGGCACGGTGTCGCTGGTGGTGGCCATGGCCACCTCCTCTTCATTTGTCGAATTCCTTTGATACCGACCACGTGCTAAGTTTCTTTCTTGTATCCCCAATCGCAAGTTCTCTTGGTCCTCCTCCTCCTTGGCCATTTCGACAAGGGCCTTTTCGATTCGCTCCTTCTTGGCAACTCTCATACGATTAACTACAACTCTTTCCTCCTTCGAAAAACTTATAGGCAATCGTGAAAGATGCACAACCGGCTGGACTTTCTCAGGTTTCCCATTGTTTGGATTGGGAATGGAAACGAATGGGCCCCTCAGGCGTCGCTGTTCAGCCAGTTTCAAGGCTTCCACAGCTACCTTTCTTTCCTGTTCACGACGTCTCTCCCTGGCAGCCACAAGCCTATCATTAAGTGGAGGAAAGTCCGGAAGGACATTGGATGCATTGGTAGCCAATTTGTCTTGTGTAGCATTTTCCATGCCGTCTAAAGGTGTTTTCGGTGTATCAATTTGTTTTAATTCTTCATATGATATTTTCCTTCCCTTGCTGCGCGGGACAATTACATAGTCCGAGTCGTCAACTAACAATACCTCAGAATTGCGAGAATCTAGATGGGAGAATAGTACAGGCATATAGAATGCTGCTATTAAAATAGAAATAATTTCATTACTTCTCTCAAAGATCTTTGGAAATCCTTTCCATGGCAGTAGAGCCAATGTTGGCTTAGCATTCTTTTGCTCGTTCTCCACCATGAAGATGTTCCTTATATCGGCCAAACCGACATAATCTTCATCTTTGGCCAACTCTTCCGACATTAAGCTTGGCACAAATTCTGGAGCACTGGCACTTAGCTTCACTAGACCTCCAGCTACCACATCCTTGGTATCAGACTCCTCGCCGCTATCATCAAAGTAATTATCCGGCAAAGGATTCTTTAGGATCGCGAAGAGTGCACGACTTTTTATCAAATTGTGCATGGTTTTTTATTATTTTTTAACTCTGCAATATTTCTTTTTTTTTTTTAAGATTTGTTGCCTCGTCTTGTGAATGTTAAGTTCTGATTGTATGGAAATTTTCAAATGTGGCTCTATATATACGTTTAGAAGGAGCTACTGTCAGTGCTTGTCATACTATGCCCATACTGTGTTCTTACTAACATGGCCTACTACTATAAGAAAAATTATTAACTAAATTTGATGTTAAAGCCTCGATCACTGCGGCCATACTATTGTCATATTAACAAGGCCTACTACTATACCTCGGTCACTAAGTTACTCAAATATGTTTCTTATTTGGTAAGCAAAATAAAAGCTGAAAAGCCAAGCCAACTTACCTGGAAGGCAAAGTGCAGCTGGACGATCCATTCGGAATTGGCATGCGCCATGATGTGTCGCTCCTCCCAGAAGAAGGCTGAATCTGGTCGTTTCATCATCTCGAACTTGGACAGCCGCTTCATGGCATACACCTGACTGGAGGATTTGTGCCGCACCAACTGCACTTCTCCGAAGGCGCCGGCGCCGATGAGTTTAATGAAGTCGAAATCCTCAACGTTCATGCGCAGCTGATTGATTTGCAACGCCAATGGTTTATCTGTAAATTGAGAATACCAAATTATTAATGATTTTGGATATTGAATATAAGGATTTTCTCACATTTGGCCGCATACTGTTCGATGTTTTTAAGCCGCCTCAGGGAGTCGTGGTCACAATCGCTGACCAATGCCGATACCGTGTCCAGCAGGCAGTCCACATTGCAGATGCTGGTCGGATCGCGCATCTCGCGCTCGAGCGTATTCGCCCTGCAAAATTGTAACAAAAACGAAAATTTTAATCAAATTTTAAATTAGAGGTGTTCCACAATCCGGATTAATCATCTTCACGATTCGTTCATTGTTTACATTTCGATGAGTGTTTGATTGTTCAACTGTTCTTCCGTTGGTCGTCATGCAAATCGTTCGCATAAACAAACAAAAAAAAAAAGGGGAAGGAACTATGAGGGAAAAGTGCGCAGATTACTCATGGACGTCTAAACACCATTTTCCCGGTACCCCCAACCACAAGCCTACATCTGCTGCCCAAATAATGGAATTAATAACTTCGCACATCGTCTACATTAAGGATTTGTTATTATTTCCGCTTAAACAACTTTTATTGGCCATGGCGATAGAAGTAAACATATTTGTGTTGAAAATACTGCATTAATATAAAAGGAGCTGGGACATATCAAATGGGTTAAATGGCTTCCAAAACGTATCTATAGAACCCTAAAAGTCTGAATATTTTTGAAAAATGAGAATGCAATACAAGTGAGTTGTTTTTAATGATATCAATTCGATCCCAACTGTCTGAGCTTTGACAATATAAACGAAAACGAAAGACAGCCAAGCTGTCGAAGTGCTATGGGGTTTCAGATCTTGAAATTGGAGTGACGGTGAGTCAGTGAGGATTGGACATGAAATGCCCCGGAGAATTGTCCCAATCTGATGATTTGGTGGCAGACAAATGGTCGCCGCATGACCGGATATCACACATTGAAAACCTGGCAACAAAAAAAAAAAGAGTTGTCCGGATGTTACAGGGAACCCATGAAGAAGAGGAGGCCACGACGTTATCGCCCTGCGCTGTTGACTTTGATAAAATGTGAATGGAATGCAAGCCATGTGCAGGCCACTGACAGCAACTTGCACAGTGGGAGCTGCCATGATGATGATGATGATGATGAGCACTCTGGGTTTGCTTTCCTCCCCTCAGGTTACAGACTGCATTGCTTTTGAATGAAACCAGCCACCTTCGGGTTTTTTTTTTCCGTGACACCCATTGAAAACTAGACTTATGTACACAGCTATATGGACAGCAAAGTGGCCAAGGAAAAATCAAACAAAGATAATGCTTTTGCTGTGTGCCTAATCTTATATTAAACACAAATTAATTACGCTTTTTTAGAATATTAATTGGAGCACCAGTTTAGGCAGATTAATTCTGAATGAAAACAAAAATATAAACAAATATTTTATAATTAAAAAAAAAAAAAACATTTATCATCAAAACTTTTTATGTTTTTTGTGAATGAAAATGTGATAATCATGAAAAAAATTAGCGTAAACATAGTAGCCTAAATGATTTAATCAGTGAGCGTAAGTTCACAGGCATACAGCTGGTATTAAATACTTGAAAAGTCCATTAATCATCAAAAATTAAACGAATGCAGTGAAATAAGCAAACCACAAAGAAAATAAGGAAAAATTCGTATGGCAGGAAAATGAACTGAACTGATATGGCACGTTTGCTAAATTAATTATAAGAAATAAGTATTTGCATTCAGGATTACTAGACCATAGAAAAGCGATCTTAATTTCCGTGAATAATTAAGTTACTTATTCGGAAGAGAACAAGGCAATCAAATTGGGCTGGGCAGCTGTTTTTCGATATATCCGAATTTAAAAGTATTTTCTAGATATTCACCGTACCCCAAGTGGGTTGGCCCAAACGTAACCAAGATTTATATGCAATTAGCTGGCCAGAAAGGCAAATATTTGCACTGCCACCAAAACTCAATACTACGAAGTTGGCTTCGAAGCCAAGCTATAAGCTCAGACAAAACAGCGATGACAGTCGGCGCTAAAAATTGATACTAAAAGGTGTTTGAATTGTTGTGATTTCATCATCGCCACTTACGGCATGACAGAAAACCCAAAAACAAAACGTCCAAGCAATAGCACAGCACAGCACAGCACAGCATAGCAAACGCAAACAGCAACTTGGGAAAGTGGAATTTTCAAAAATGCTGCGATGAATTTTCGTTTGCCGCTGTTGATTTCGATTTGGCCAAAGCGGCAATGGCAACAACAACATAATTATTAACAAAAACAACAACAATAATAATACATAATATTGCAACGACGACGACGGCAACGACAACATTATCGTCACCTATAGACAATATAATTTTCAATTTAATTTATACATCGTCGCCAAATTTGATCTGGAAAGAAGTTAATGTTGTTGTTGTTTTTTTTTTGTCTATTTAGCAAATTTAATGCTTTATATTAAGTCTTAAGACTTAGACTACATCATCTGCATCTGCAAATGCGTTTCAAAAATCTCTTCACAACTTATTAATTCTAATTAATTTTCCAATAGCACAAAGAAACTGCTGGCTTTTATGGCCAAATGCGCAATGCAATTGTGGGCCTTTGTTAGTACGCAAATACTTTTCCATTTGCGCTTATGTGTGCTTACAGCAACAGATAAACCGAGTGGATGGGTAATTAAATTTAAGAATTTATATGCATACTCAAAACTACGGAATTGTTTTTCTTCTGTTCGTTATGAAGGTGTGTTCGTTCAGGAGTGTTGGAATTTGAAATAAAGTTTTGGAATGTTTTGAAAGCGTAGCAGGACGAGCTGGGAGCGTAGAGAGCAACGTACCGTTCCGGCTCGCTCGAATGGAGGGCGGCGGGCATTAGCCATGGCCACATGCCCTATACCGTCGACTGTCCAACGGGGAAAACCAGGGGTTCCTCTCCCTTTTCTAATAACTCTCCTATTTGCAGATCTTGGTATTCGTTTCCTTTTTGGCCCAAAACAAAACGATGCAGCCGATGCAACGCGACGCCTGCAACTGACAAACAGAGCGGCGGCGGCGGCATCAGCTACTGCGTTCGTTTCAGTTTGATTTTGGTTTTTGGTGTGGTTACAAATTTTAATGCGAAAATGGCAAATTTATTATAAAGTCGCCCCCCGTTTTGTTCACTCGCTTGTCAATTTGATTGCCGCGCTGTCGCTTTGAACATGAGATATGGAAGGTGTTTGCCAGCGGTGTATTACTTTTTGATTTGTTTTTGGCCTGGCCCGTTTGGCTTGCGCTGAATTGTGCTAGCTAGCTAGCTGGCTGCCAGCATAGTTGAACAAATCACAAATCTGTCTGTACAAATCGCACGTATCTGTGCGATGGCTACTACTACTGCTGCTGCCATTCGGGTGACAATTAATTGAGTGGAGCAGTCGCTTTTGGGCCGCCATCTCAAGCACTCACCGGCGCCTTCGTTCCACATCCATGCTGCGCTGATGTCTGGTCACAGGTTCTAATCCAGCTGGCATGCAAATGTAAGATAATATAGCCGCCGTTGCTGTTCCTTCCTGGTGGTTAGTAAATGTTCCTCTCGCTGCTTAGTTGCTATTTCTGGTACACCTGTAAGCGCCAAAAACTAAACTAAAGTGGTGGTTTAGATAGACTGCATTAGCTTCTATTTACCTGCCAGGAGTTAGTTGCCTGAATTCCGGGGAATGCTAATGGTAATGAGGAGGCACGCGTTAAGCGCTGGCTTGCTGTTGTTCTGGCGATGAGGTCACGAGCGTCGTTTGATTTCTAGCTAAGTGCTTTAAAACCGCTGCCACTGTATGCGATCCGAATGCGGACGAGGATTTAGCACTTGGCGCTGGCTTCTTTTGGTGGTCTGCCGCCAACGCCACATGCGGACGCAGCCGGACACCCGGCCGTATATATCCCGGTCGCAGAAGTTTATCAATTCGCGGAAAATGTGCTTCTACAGGTAGTACAATGAGAATCAGGAGTATGACCAGGATGTTTGTGGGTAAACAGAAGAGCTTGGCTGCCAGTAATCCGCTTGGCATGCAACAGTTGAGTCAACACTTTTTGGCAAACCTGGCCAAAAGGGGGTGTTCGATTTGGGATGTTAAAGATTAGCTTTGTTTCTCGGCTTTTAAGTGTTTTTCTTCTCCAATCTTGTTGGTTTTTCCTTTTTTTTTTTTGTTAATTCCAACGATACCTCTTTGCACACACACACACTCTTTCGCCTCGATCGCACACCAGTGCACTGCGAACGGCGAACGTAGCAAGCGCTACAACAACAATAACAAGGCACACCACACTCACACACACCGATGTGCGTCACACCGACGTGCTGTTCGTCGGCAGCGGGAAACGCGCAGGGGGCGGGACGGGAATGGGGGCGGCTGACCGCCCAAATTGCGAATGTCCAGTTTCGGCCGCGGCCAAATCAATCAATTTGGTTTTAATTAGACGCTGCGCTTATTTTATTTCGGCTCGGTGCTGGGGTAGTGATGGCAATTATGTTTACATATCGTCGATATGATATCGAAGGTGAAATATCGTAGTGATCGCGGTGTGACCATCGCCTGGGTTGAAGTGTGGGCGAAACTAAGCCTCGAAAAATACCTTAACATACCAAATCAAACGCTATCGGTAGAACTTGCAATGCGGCTGTGAAAACCGCGATTCGATAAGCCTTATTGTGCCCAAGATAATATTCGATACTCACAAAAGATTTATTTCACAAAATAAATAATATGATTTAAATAAATATATATTTATATTATTTTCTTTAAGCTCATAATATGATCAGGTTGTATTGCCTAGAATTGATTGGAGAATTTTTTCTTCAATTTCTGTTGCGTTCAAGCTAAAATTCAATCAGTTTTCAGTTCATGTTGATGAAGTATTAGAATTTATTCATTTGTTGATTACAATACTGCTTTAGGATATACAGAATTAAAATTAAATAAATGTACTTATTTATGTATGTATGTGACGGAAAAATATTTATGTACATATATTAATTTTTAATACTACTTTACCATATATTATGACAAATAAAGGCATAGTAGTTAGATGACCAGGATTAATGGAAACAATAACGTTCAGTTTATTTTGTCTAGTATTGTCTTAACTATTTTTTAGTTGAAGAAGTTTCAACTTTAGGAACAATTTGTATTGCGTTCAACGTAAAGTTCAATCTGTTTTCAGTTTATGATAAAGTAGTAGAATTTTATTTGTTTATTAGAAGGAAGTCATAATGCTTTATGATATACAGAATTAAAATCAAATAAATGTACTCATTTATCTATTTAAGTGACGGAAAAATATGTATGTAGAAACATATTAATTTGTAATACCACAGAATATGACAAATGAAAGCTTAGTAGTTACATGGCCAGGATTATTGGAAACAATAATTGTTTAAATTTTAAAGCTATAAAAATAGACTAAAAATATGATTAAAATAAAATATATATATCGGATTGATAAAAAAAATAGAAATTAAGGTAAATGGTGGTGAAGATTGTAGGCTATCGCTCTTGAACACCTCGATAGTTTTTGGGCAAGTAAGTATTCGTTTTATCGATAGCATCGTAAGGGATCAGCTCAGCTCTAAAAAGCGCAGCCAACTTCACGCGCCTTGTTCTTTTTTCCGGTTGACTTTAACGAGAAAGGTTGTGTACGAATTCTTTTTAAGTGAATTATTTTTTTTTATGTTTTGAATGGGTGAAATTAAATGAAAGCGCCCATACAAAGTGGCGAATGACAAAATGGGCAGGCTGTAAGCTTGAGAATATTGATTTTCAATACGAATAACCCGGCTGGCTGTTTTTGTTGTGCCCGTGCGTGTGTGTGCGTACGAAAGAGTGCGCTTGTGTGTGTGCGAGAGAGTCGAAGAACTCGCGACAACGTGTTTTTGGCAAAGTTTTAATGGTTTCCTCATTTGTTTGGCTTGTTTTCCCACAGATGCCAGGCGTCACAGTGAAGGATATTGACCAGCACGCGGTTACCAAGGCGGTCGCCGTCTTCTTGAAGAAGTAAGTACTCTTAAATTGGGAACAAATTCAGTCACATAACCTCTAAACCTTTTTGTTTATCACCTTAAAAACTAAAAGGACTGGCAAGTTGAAGGTGCCCGACCAGATGGACATCGTCAAGACCGCCAAATTCAAGGAGCTGGCACCCTACGATCCCGATTGGTTCTACGTGCGTTGCGCCTCGATCCTGCGCCACCTGTACCACCGCAGTCCCGCTGGTGTTGGTTCCATCACCAAGATCTACGGAGGACGCAAACGCAACGGTGTCCACCCATCCCACTTCTGCCGTGCCGCCGACGGTGCTGCCCGCAAGGCTCTCCAGGCCTTGGAGCACGCCCGCCTGGTCGAGAAGCACCCGGACGGTGGCCGTAAGCTGAGCTCCATTGGACAGCGGGATCTGGACCGTATTGCCAACCAGATCGTTGTCAAGCAGCGTGATGCCGCCAAGCAGACCGGGCCCCTTGTTATTTCCAAGTAATCACACGGCGCCCCTTCGAATTCTAAAAAAAAACGCATTTTTAGACTTCTATTGTAAGCGCTTTTTGTTTGCACGAGAGAGATGAGAAAATAAAACCAACTACAAATTATAAAAGTCTACGAAATGAGCGTTGTTCGGATGCCTAATGCATTTTTTATGTTGACTGTCATGAGGGGAAAAGCTATCAGCTCGTATTAAGCATACAAGGAACGATTTTATCAAGATGTTAATGTTAGTAATATGCTTTAAACAATGTGGTAGACGTCTTATGATTGCTCAACAAGTCATGTAAATGAGTTAATTGGCAACTGGTTTTCTTCTATGATCCAAGTCATCGCAATTTAATAGTTTAAACCTTTAATCATCTACCATAAATCCGTTATGAGTAAGCAAGGAACTACAATATTTTTTAGAAACAACGCCAAGACAGCTTTATCTTTTTTTATGTGCCTAGAACTATGCATTTAGATGATATACGGATTTGTCAGGAAGTAATGCGCCAAGTCTTGGCCTGCCTTAATATCAAAAAGCTTTCAGCTTTAGGCCTAGCTAAAAATTTATGAAGATAAGCACCTCAATTATTAAATTAAAGCCTTGGCAATATATTATAAATTAGTTAAACTAATATACACGTTTTTTATTACAAAAAAAAAACGAACTTGATTAAGTTAAACTATAGCTTTCTTGATAGTTGTACTAAAGACGTATACATTGTGTAAAAACAATTTAGCTTACATCAAATGCAATTTCATCACATTAGTTTACTTAAATGGAAAGTTTCGGAATATTAAGAAATGATGCCTAAATAGTGGTCTGGTTTTTATCTAATAAAACCTCTTGGGCCAGTTTTCTAGTATTCACAGAAAATCAAAGAGAAAACTTGCGGATCCCAGCCGTATGTTTAGCAAGATAAATTAGTTTTAACTTATTAAGGCAGTTATTTAAAAAATGTGCCTTGTATTCCTCTAACAAAGTCAAGTAACAAGCCAATATCGGACAAAAAGACAAGAAAACACGATGGCATGCTTACCAAGCAAGCTATTGGTTATAAATATTAGACTTTTGTTAATGCCTTTTTGTGCAGCAATCTCTCAATTTCAGTCATATCATAATCACCCAACAAAATGGTAAAACATTTTGCAATGAGTTTCTAAGTTGTCTTATTATTCGGTAAGATGAGTGTAAGGTTTATTTTATCTTTTTAGTTAAGAATTTGTGTATTTTTCTGACGGTGTACAGCGCGCATGAATGTTTCAGAGCCTTAAGACTAGACACTACGGCTAACAGTTTTTGGGTGCTTGAGGTTATTGGGATCCGAGGCGAGTGCTAAACCCTGTCCAGAGCTTCAACCATGACGATGCTGTTGCCGCGGATTACCTAGAAAAGTGGAGAATGTTATTAAAATTCTAATTTTGTGTTAGCTATCGATCATCTTACCACCATTCCGACGTTGTTCTTCGTGTTGTCCTTGCACTCCTCTACAGTGTCGTCCAGGACCACGTTCATGAAGGGATCGAATCCTCGCAAAATGCCGGTGACGGCGCGTCCTCCGTTCAGTTTTAGCATCATACGCTTGTCCATGTACCTGGAATGATTCCCCGGATTTCGATTTATAAAGGTAATCTTTAAAGCTATATTTGACTCACTTTTTCAGCTCTGGGGGATGGGCCTTCGACATTTTGTTAGTTTAATTTGCAAAAACGCGAAAACTTTGGGTAAAAATGCGGCCGATGCGATAGAGATGACACTATCGATGGGATAGGTAGTTTGATTATCGACTACGTTTCGATTCCATCTAGAAACGATATATTTTGTTTAGCGGTAAACAGTTTTTTACGTTTTGCAACACTATTCATGCTAACAAGTTTCATACAAAAAAAAACTTGAAATAATAAATTCTAAGTAATAATACTATTATTATTTATAACGGATTTGTTCCCAAAGTGAATTATGGGAACAATAATTAACTATTTAAAATATACATTTTTTTTAATATATTTTTTCATGCAAATAATGATAATGTTAAATGTATGTATGTATATATGTCAGGAAGCCAAAAAAAACTTTAGAAAATAAACTCCAAATACTAACATTATTATTATTTGTTAAGGATTTGTTTCCGAAGTGAATTCTAAAAGAATAAATAAATATTTAAAATATACATTTATTCAGTAGTATATTTTTCTTGCAAATAATGATAATGATGAATGACGTGCATATATGTCAGGAATGTTAGTATGTTTATTTTATATTTTTAATGTTTGTATACGTTTAAAATTTATAATTTGGTATTTATGTTATACGTTTTAATTGTGGTTAAATTCGACGGCCTTTTTTAAATGCCTAATTATACAATTAAGACAACCCTAGTCTACTTCCAAACGATAGATGTGACCGTACGACTGTAAGTATTTGGACAGTATAGCGCAAGGGTCGCACTGCAAAGACCCATATAAGGTTCCCCCCTCTGATCATCGAGAGTATTTCCAAAAAAACGCGAGGAAAAGGTTGCTTCGCTTTTAAGCCAGAGCACAGTGATTTTTTTTTTTCACCGCGCGATGTGTTTACGACTGAAAATTGAGACAACAAACCTTGGTGGGAATAACACGAAATGATATTCGCTTTTCGCATCAATTTTAAATAAAATTGTGATATACATATATACATAATTCGCTGACAACACGATTTCATTGAAGGCGTCCATCTCAGCCTACCCGTGTGTTTATTTTACGCGATCCGACGACGATTTTCCAGCGACGACGCCTCGATTTTGTTTGTTTGTTTGCCCAACTTAACGGAGGTGAAATTTTTCATTTTCCCCTATTTGTTTACGGGCTAGTTGAAAGAGAGGAAAAGTGAAAAGTGTTATTCGACGAAGCGAAACGGAACGCAAAAAGATCTTAAGATATGTGTACATAGCACATAAATTGCAGATTGAGGCCAAGACAAGGCAAAAAGAACCTGAAATCTAAAGATCTTGACGACGGTAGCAAAAGCGACAACGACAACAAAAAAGAACATGATGGATTTCAGGCTGCTTATCAGGAATTGTGGCCTACTTATGGGCGCAATCCTGCTACACATTTCGGTGTCCTTGTGTTTGGCCATCGAGGAGCCTACAGCCCCCCTACCTCGCCCGTCTCCACCGCCCACCGTGAAGCTCAACAAGTGCTGCCACACGGGGGAGTATTTAAACGAATCGAGTAACGCTTGCATCGCTGGCAGTGAAGCCTTGTGGTTGCCTATGGTCTATCTGGTTCAGCAACAGCGATTCTTCGAGCCGCTCGGAGCCAGCCCGCGCTTTATGAAGTTTCTCCCCAATATCAGACCATCCTGCCGCCTAGATCAAACTACGGAGATTTTTCGTAGCCGCGGCGCCAACGTTATGCTCTTTCCTAATGGCACATTGTATGTGCGGGAACGTGGTCTTATGGTTCAGCCGTCAGACTACTGTGTCGACTGGGAAGTGGCGGTTGTGTGTGTTGACAGCCTACCGGCCGACGCTTTAGAGGTTCCAGGACCAGGAGCAACACACGTTCAGAAGGAGGCGCCGGTTAGCCTGCGATTAAACAAGTGTTGCGGAAAGTGGGGTATCTACAATACTGAGCAGCAAAACTGTTACTTGAAGACCAGCAATCAAAAAGCCGCCGATGGACTACTTCGACTGTCACCACAACTTCCTGAGGGTAGCTATCTGACCAGCTATGGCCTGCCCGTATGTGCTCGTCCCGGGGGTTATTCCATAGCCGGGGATTGGCAAGATGCCAAGCTGGATCGGGCAACGGCCAGACTGCAGTTGCCGCACAAGAACCTCAGTGCCGAGCAATATTGCCTGGAGCATACACAACGTGAGGGCGAGGTCAAAATCATAGCGTGCCAGCATTTATTTAGGACTGACGGAGGAGGAGATGGGACACAGGATGGATCCACAGGAGACTCTATCGAGGAAGTCAATGGTCAGAATTTGCAAAAGGCGGTTTTAACTGGCGGCATACTTGTATCGATTGTGTTTTTAACCGCCACTTTGGTCGCCGGCTTCCTGCTGCCCGCCGTCCATCATGCCCTTCACTGGCGTTGCCAAATCTTTTATGTAACCTGCCTGCTGATCGGCAAAGTGTTGCTGGCCATTGAGGAGCTGAGCTCAAGTTTGCTACCAGGAAGTGTGGCTTGCCAGGGACTGGCCATCTGCATGCAGTTCTTTTTCTTGGCCGCGTTTTTCTGGCTGAATACCATGTGCTTTAATATTTGGTGGACTTTCCGGGATTTTCGACCCAGTTCGTTGGAGCGCAATCAGGAGGCCCTCCGGCGGTATCTGTATTATCTGTACGCTTGGGGCGGCCCGCTGCTCATCACTTTTGTGGCCGCCTGTGTGGATCAGTTGCCGGAGACGACGCTACTGAGACCAGGATTCGGGCAGCTGTACTGTTGGTTCGACAATCGGAACCTCTCCATCTTTGCCTACTTCTACGGACCCATTGGTCTCCTATTGTGCGCCAATATAGCGCTCTTTGTGTCAACCACCCATCAGTTAACATGCGGCCTGTGGAAACGGGATGATGTCAAGTCCTCCACGGAGAAGTCTGCTTTGGGCAGAGTCTGCCTGAAACTGGTGGTCGTGATGGGCGTCACCTGGATAGCGGACATACTATCCTGGCTGGTGGGTGGACCACATGGCGTATGGTTCTTCACCGATTTGATCAATGCCCTACAAGGTGTCTTCATCTTTCTCGTTGTGGGCTGCCAGCCGCAGGTGTGGACCGCCTGCCGCCGGATCTTCTGTCCAAGATTGCGCCACGACATTACTAATACAACGAACGGAGTTCAGCATTCGAGCAGCTCACAAGGAATGCCATCATTGGCCGGTGGTACGGAGACAACGCAGAATACCACCATGCCCAGCAGTCCGGCGGCGGATAGTGGACTAGAGGATGACATACTGGAGAAAGCACCGATACCCCCCGTTCCCACAATCAAAATGGAGACTGTTTGCTAAACGTAAGTTGAACACCCGATAACCCAGTGTAATTCTAAAGAGATAGTCACTGTTTGCCGAGGCAAACACAGCGCTTGCAGTTCCCACTCTGTGTTTACAAAGCGGCTTACAATATGTGGCTTTAAGCACACACTCACTACTGATAGACTTATCGGCTTTAATGGGCTTCAGGTCCGATCAGGAATGCAAAGTATCTCAATGAGTTGGTTGTTTGTTCGCCGGTTATGCCATGCATGGTAGCAGGTTCGGTCCTATAAAGTACACGTACAGGTGGGGCCAATGTTTTGCATATCATTACAAAACATCGCATTTCGTTGAAAATGTTTCTTTTATATCATAGATAGTTTGTAAAGTTTCAAATAAGTGAGTTGTTATAAGATAATTAACGAACCCAGAAGTACCTTTTGTATTTCTTGGCTTTCGTTTTAAATTAAATTAATTTAAAGATTAGTACCTAACTTTCTTCATTCTGAAAACTGAACATATTGCATCATTTTATTATTATGATTTGGTAGCTGCTGCTTCACGTACCGCAGCTACTATTAACCCGAAAATAATTAGAACGGTCAACATTCAACTGGATTTTCTGGTATATGACTAAAAATGTAAGCAACATGAATATCACATATGTCAGAGAAAAAAGTATTATTTTTTCCCATTCATCTGAGAATCACATGTGTGATAATTGCTCTGCCAATAGACTTAACCCAAATACCTAAGATTTATTTAAAAAAAGGTAAAAACAAATATGAAACTTCGAATTCGTCATAGAAATAGTAGTGTGTTTGCGCTGACAACTTTTAGGAACCAACCACCATTTGATATTGAAAAAACTAGTTTTGTTATCTAGTTGTTTGTTAAAGGGAAAAATCTAGTACATTTTTTGGAGTTTTCATTTAATTGAGTTAGTTTCCCTTGGACATGGTCCTTTTTGGGAAATATCCTTTCATCACCCCCCATGTAGACTCATTTTATCCAGATGCAATTTTAGGGTTTGAGATTTCCTAGGCTACCTGGGGCGATTTCCCAACGAGGCGCCGGGCGAAAAGTCCAGCACGTTTCTTTTCCTTTTTTTTGCTTGCTTGCGTTTTCCGTTGTTTTTATGGACTTGGGAAATTTTACTTAGGACTCTTGTCGTGTTGGTCAGTTCCATTTGCATGACCATTTACCATTTCCCAAATGTTTTACAACATGCGCCAAGTTTACGATTTCGCGTGCAGCACTTGAGTTCGAGAATGTCCATAAAGACGAAAAATTTTGATGCCGCTGTGCCGTTATGTTTTTCATCGGAAAAACTCTGACGCCGGTTCGTCCGATTTCCTGTCGATTTCCACATGGCCATAAAGTAATCAGCGCAACCCTTGACATACACGCAAGCGTAGATAATGGAAAACCGGGACCGGGACCGGATCGTTACGTTAACGTTATACTATCTGGCATCCGTCTGTATCTGGGATACGTATTCGAACGTGAAAGGGAAAATTGAGTTTAAATTGGACTCACCGGCGACGGCGACGGATGACGATAAGCAGCATATCGCTTCGTCTTGTTTGTGTTTCAGCTCATTTTCCCTTCATACTTGTTACTTTTGTTACTTTACTTCGGTTGCCTCAAGTGGTTTTGACACATTCCAAAATGATCCAATGCAAACTACAGTCGGGCTTCGGCACTTGCAAACATTAAATATCTGAAACAATCTTACTATTTATAGACATAAGTACCTTGGTTTAGAAAGATAAAAAAAAAGGTGAAGTTCTAGAAAAGGTTTCAGTTTAGAAGGTAATAAGATCGAATGGAAGAAATTTTTGGGGATCTCCTGTAAAGCATATTAAATTTTCCCAAAAAGAGGGACATGTTTATTACAAAGAATGTAGGATTATATTGTAGTTCTATAGAAAATGTGATATCATTTCAGTATGTATCCTTGTTAAGTGTGACAGCTGTTGGTAGCAGTTATTGTTGTATGACTGTATTTCTTTACCCTCGTGTTTTTTGTTTGTTACTTTTTTTTTGGGCCCTGATCGCGTCATTTTTTTTTTTTTTTTTGTGATCCGCGTCTGTCAGGGGAAACAGATGTGTTGGTACGTCCGCCTGTCCGTCGATGACTGTATGTCCGAATCCGAATCTGAGGTTTTGCCCAACGAAAGAGAAAACAAAACAAACACTGGGTTTTTGGCCCATGGGCCCATTCAAGGGGATTACGCAACCGAGTTATTTGGCCTGGCCCCTGAAATCGTACCTCGTGCACGCAATAAGATTGGGAGAAACCAGTCGCTCAAAAACTGTGACCGGCATGCGAGTGTGCGTGTGTTGCAATGCCTCAAATGCTATGCAACTGAAAATGCAGTTGCAACTGCAGCTGCTGTGCCATTTGTGTTCATCTGCATAATCTCAGAGCACCATGTCCCCGTCACGCTCATCAAAACACGGCAACGACGGTGCAAAAATAAGGGAGTCGCAGACTGTGCTCCTCGTTTGTCAACCAAATTGCACAGATGCACAATAGGACACAGGGAAACCTCTGGGCAAATTTTCATCATTTAGCAGTTTTTAGCTATGTGATTCGAAGAATTGAAATTTTACAATGGATAATCACACATGATCATCAGCGTTTAATTACAAATTCACGCAGTTTAAAACCGTTGAGAATTATAGAGGCGTAGAAGCCGTAAACTTTTAAAACCAAACATCCTAAAGATGTTTTCCTAAACCACAATAAATCTAAAAGCCTATCTATCATTAGCAAATCGTTACTCAAAAATTCTTTGAAAAACCAGAAACAAAAGCGAAAGTTTTCTGACAATAACTATTGTGATAATTTAAAAACACTTTCGTTAATTAGTAATTTCCCTGATTATCTTGTGTGGGTCAGCAATCATGGCGATCAAAGACCGGAAAACTACATAGCTATTCCATGAGAAATATGAGATTGGCTACGCTTGAGTTCCACTTTTTATCCCCATCACCACTTAATTATTTAGTTTTTCGCTTATGGTTCTATTAAACCATTAAGCAACTTTTTATTTAAAATTTGATGATTAGTACATGTTACTTGTTTGACATGGGTTAACTATAAATGATTACTAATTTAATAATAATTCGTGGTACTCATAAAGCTTATATTATTTTACATTTTTGTTCATAAACGCAGATAATTCTTGCCCGTTGTCGAACGTGACCCATACTTCCCGCCTGAAATGGAACCGTTAAAAAGAAATACGAGCCAGTGCTGATTCGTTGTGAGTTATTGTTTAAGTGAAAGAAGTCGAAACTTTGTAGTTTTCATCTGGGTCAGCATTTATCTGTCTAGTTTTCCATGATACTTCAAAGTATTCACTGCTTGGCAGCGTAATGAATTCCTTCCTGTTGACTTTTCCACAAATTGGCACACATTTCGCTGTAAGAATACTAAATGTCCATCTCCAGACGCAATCGCACACACGCACACATGCTCTGCGTTAATTTGAGTTTAGCGGCAATTTTTAATTTGAACGTTCTGCAGTTTTTCAACTTATAATTGCACTGTGGCCCATTTACATTTTACGCAGGGCATTATTTTTTTAATTTATGCCTGCAACGTGGGTCGTCATATGATTCCTTACCGGTGGAAGGAAATAAGGGGAAGATATTGCTGCCACAGTTGTGGTTGATATTTTAGCTCAGAAATATTTATACATTTACTTCTTTGTATTTAAAAATCATAGTTTAAGATTCGGATTCGGATTGTTAATTTGTGCAGGCGATCTGAAATTTTGTATATGTTATTAGGCAGGAAGCAATTTAGTATTCCATTAACTAGATACTCATACTTGTATTCATATTCGCCCTGGTATCTTTTTCCAAGAATTTGGAAAACAAAATAAATCTGAGAATTTCTGAGTATGCCCTGCTTGTTTTGTTCATTCTAATAAGATTATGAGCAATCAGGAATTGTTTTAGCCAAGACACTTAAGAATACTGACTGTGAGTTGAAGCCGTTCATATTTTTCTAATAAGAAATCTTCTTCAATAAAAGACCCTAGAACTAAAACAGCACCCTCTCCAACACTGTTCCTTAGTGCTAATACTTTGAGCGCACTGTACCTTGCATACGCACGCAGATCATATAAAAATTTGTACTTATTTTTGCCCCTTTTCTTTCTTTTTTTTTGCAGACAACTGAGACGACGAGCGACACTGCGAAAGTCAGGCCCGGACACAAAAGTCCAGACCTCGAACGAGCGAAATAATGGCAATGGGCAGCTCAGCAGAAGCAAAAAAAAAAAAGCGAACAAAAAGCTGCTAAAGCTGGAGTTTCGAGACGGGAGGCACACACTTGCGCAATCGCAACAACAAAAGCAAGCTGACCAGCTAATTGTGCGGGTAAATGTGTGCATGTATGTGTGTGTGTGCTTGTGAGCGTCTTGCTCGTGATTTTGAAATCGGCCAACAACCGCTGTGGATCGAAAAGTACTCAGTATGCCAGTATTCAACTTCAATTTGAGCCAGCACAAAAGAAACGTATTATTTTATTCATCATCAACATTGCCATCATCATCGCGAAAAGCAGTAAAAGCAGAATAACGGTAGAGCAGTTCGGGTCACATTAACACGTTCTAATTGGACACTCTGGTCAGTGTTGCGAAATGCTTGTGGCTAGCAAATGGAATGTGCAGCCAAACAGGAATTCAGAATAGACAAAACAAAGCAGATCTATTGTTGCTCTTTCATCCAACAAGCACTTTCAAGCAACAATATAAAAACAACAGAGAATCAGTTTATATCTGTGTGTGTATGTATGTGTGTGTGTGGCAACCACAAGGAATTTGCTGTTGAGGCACTTTTGTTGTTGTTTAGTTAAGATAGCTACTCTGCTTTTTCTGACTCAAATCTCAAGTGTGAGAAAAACAGCAGAGCACAACACACATTAACATATCGGATGTTTAACATTTAAATTAGCCGATTCTGATTGGTATTTCTCGATTGACACTGCCTGCATCCAGTTTTTTGTTTTTGTTTTATATTTGTGCTTGACATTTGCATTGCCTAATCACTATTTTTGCTGGAATACTGGATGGAACAATGCTGACTGAAACTATTTTTATATTTGCCGCATAATCTTTTTCATCTGAAACATTTTTGAATGTTTTTCTTATGTGCAGAGTAAACAATCGAAATTTATTTACTTGGAAGCATAAACAGAAACGCCACACACACACACACATGCATATAGTTATAAGCGGAAACAATCAAATTGATCATGGAAAGTTCAACGATACCTATCGATCAAGGTTAAATGGTATAAAAAAGAAAGCGTGCTTAATTAAGCAATGATAAAGCAGTACACACATTCTCTGAAACTTCCAAGCAAGCAGTGCCCATTGTCCTAGATCCTGCTTATGGCGCCAAATTCAAAAATGTATTCCCCCAATCCCCAATGTATTTTATATATTTTAGGTCTTGAAAACGCAGAAACTACAATGCAGTACAATTATTATTTCTCATTATTATTATTTAATTCATTAATTATTTTATATTTTTTTTTGTAATTGACTAATATTAATTTATTGCTCAAGTTATGATCACACGTTCAACGTGTGCATGAGTAACACATTTGTATTATTTAGTAGAACTTCCAAAGTGTTCAGGCCAAAAGTAATTCTCCCCGTACGAGCATACTTGATACTGGTAGGATTCGAGTGTTTATATATATATAGATAGTTATTTGTAAATAATCAACGAGGAAATTACTTTCCATTCTATAAAGTTTATATAATTATTTTTCTTGATCTAAGCAACGAATCGAATATGAAATTACCGAATGACTGAGACAAAGGCAGCGAATACTTTTCACCAATTTAGATATAGATTTTAATTTTGATACTAACTATTGACTATTGTATATAAACGTATTTTGTACAACTTATTGGCTAAGCAATTTTATATATATATTATATACATTTAAATATCTAAGAACCCCGAGGGTGGAGAAACAACGATTGTTAACTTTATTGTCCATAATTCGAAACCCTCTTAACTCCACAACGAATAGTTAGTAAGTTTTAGCCCTTATATCATATCGATGATGATAAGATTCTAAGAATTACCAAACTGTTGTTAACTAAAACTATAACAAAAACAAACGAACAAGTCTGCAAAGCAAAAGCCCACTTAGTCAGCTGCTCCTCGCCCTCAAAAGCGAATTTCGAACGATTTCCCTCGAGAGCATGAGTATTTTAACGATAATTATCATATAATGTATGGCATTCATAAGGAATATATCAATAATTCGCTTTTGGAGGCGTGTGCGTACGCATCTCCGCTGCCTCTGTTTGCTATTTAATTTATGGCGCAGAGCGGGAACATTTTATAGATAAACATGCGGAACAAAAATTGTCTGAAATGGCAATTAAATGAAACCGAAACTGAAACTTGGCATTAATGTGCAGCTATATAGAATAGATATTTACAGTACCCCGATATTCACACAATACACCCGCAATTATATACACTAAACACAAAATGATGATGGCAAATGCCATTGACGACCAAACAAACAACCACTAAACTATTTATATTTTACCGTACAATAAAGCTTTTTGGCAAATATCAATGAAACAAAACCAACAAACAAAGAACCAGGCTAATAGCGAATGTCTTTCAATTGTCGCCAACGATGGGATCTCATGGGGGCACCTCCTGCACATTGGAATGGCATTGTGGTGACCCACTTTAGAATCAGATGCCTTTGAGTGCCTTAAACCTTTGTCGTTGTGGGACTGGAACCACAATCTTCTATCGCCACCTCCAGCAGTTTGTCAACTCTTCCCCTTTTGTATGCAAATTATCCACAGGCACAGTGGGTACAACAGGTTAGTTTATGGTCTCTAAAGCATTTCAATAAGAATTTAATTCAGGTGTTAATGGTCTTACTTACAGAAAGACAATTTCACAATGATTATAAGACAACTTAATTTTTAGGGAGGCTTTTCATTTATTTCATCAACATCAACAGATTATTTAGCTAACTCTTTAGTGGATAACACTTTTGCAAATACTATGCCTTTTAGTCCCACAGTGTTCAGGTGTGGCTTTTATTTTCAGTTTGTGGTGCAATCAACCTTTAAGGCAATGTTGAGAGAGCAAAAAACCGGTTAAATATTTCAAATACGCCGGGATTCAATAACACCGTCATGACGTCTGCTAATAGCTAAATAAAGAAACGAAGTGTGATGCAAAAAAAATGTCGAGTTAGCATGTTGGCTATGTTACTGACCCAAAATTATGATTAAGTTAAATTGCCTACTGAATCACCGCAGCTGATGGGTCATTTTTCGTATTGAATTTAAAAATAAACTGAGCTGAAATTATAATTAGACTGAACCACTTCTATTGTTTTATGCGTTTTTATATAAAATAATCGTTGTTTTGATCTTTTAAAATGAAATATGGTTTATTGGGGTATTTATAATGCATTGAAAGATATAAACGTTTTTAAAAATAGCGCCAAAACGATATAGACATCATCTACCTCAGCTAGCGAATACCCATACCGCTTGAGTAAGGAGGGTATAAGAGGTGTACTGGCTACCGTGACGATATCGATATCAGAGATTTGATAGAAAAACTATCGCCATTGCGATTGTCACCTACCGCGACTAGTAAGAACACACACCACGGTAGGGCGTTACGAAGGTGTACTCGCTAATGCGAAGAGCTCGATATTACAGATCCGATAGGAAAACAATCGATATCTGGAGATGCCATTGTATATCGAGAAGAGCAGCTGTACGGTCACATTGACGTGCATATAAACGCAACATTAATAAACTGAACAAAAGGGTAGCAGTGATAAACTAAACCAATTGCATTATATGCTATATGCCAGTCGCAAGCAGTGCCGTGCCAGCATTGCAAACACAGCCGGAAAGTCAGGAGAACCCGAATTTAGGACAAACAAAATTCCCAGTGACCGTAGAAAATCAAAACAAGTGAAAAGTCATAAACAAAAGGAAAAAAAGCATTAACCATGTGTAAGTTACGGAGTTACAAAAAGTCCTGTTCATTTTACTACATAATAACAATTTTGAAACTAATTTCCGGGCGACATTCTTTTGTTGTTGTTGTGATGCGCGGGTGTGAGTGTACGAGAAAGAAAGAGATGGAGTGATGGAAGATTTGCTGACGCCCCAGCAACGAAAACAAATTAAAACCAGACGAAAGTAAAATTTCACCCAAATTTTTGTTTGTTTTTTTTTTTTGGTTCGCCAAACTGGAAAAACGAGTTTTTTTGGGTTTGTTTAGACTGTTTTTGTGCCGGCTTTCCGCGAAAGTTTTAAAACGGCACTTTGCCTGCCCCTCTATTCTACCTCACTTTTTTCTCTTCCTTTTTCTTCGTTCTTTCACTCCCCACCCGCTACTTAAGTGTACATATGTGTGTGTGCGAGTCCCGTTAAACTGGTTCTGGTTTAATCGCATCTTCCTCTCTTTCGCACGTAACGGTTTTTAATAGGTATTTCTTAACTGCTTTTAATCCGTTAGCTACACTTATCAGCATCACCCACAGTCAAACTCACCCACACACACAAATGTACACCTGGGAAAGTACATAGATAATTAATAAACACAAAGCGCAGTAAATGGCAAAAAGAGTAAAAGAGATGTGAGATCCAAAGTGCATAATGGTAATGCCAATGTTAATGGCCCCGCAACGCAGCTGTTCTTTTTGTTCCTCACATTTGTTTTAATCTTTTTTACGTTTCTGCCATTGTACGCCTCGCCACGCCCACCTAACGGGAGGAAACCCTGGAAGTTGGCCAAGTAGGAAAAAATAAAAATAATGCCCATCTTTGTCAGATCTTTTTCCGATTGCGTCACAAGACGGTTCTAACGCTGCTTTACGTCAGATCTTAAAGATAGATTTTGAAACCAAATCTTACAGATATAGAGTGGGGAAAATCTGAGATTTTTCATTTTAGTGTTTTATTTATTTAAGTTATATTCAGTTTTATCTTTATCAATTTAAATGCACAGCAATGTTTCACTTTTTGAACCACATTTAGGAACTTTATTATTAAGATTTTTCCAATTTGCTTCTAAAAACTTTCAAGTAGAATAGTTAAAAATGTTGAAAATATAGTTTAATGATATTGTGATATGTACATTTAAGCTACGTTCTGGAAAGTTTGGAAGCATTATCTTAGAATGTTGTTATCACAACCAATCTTCTTAACGATCGTGTTTTTATTACAATTGCCGCACAGCTGCGGTTAAAAATATAGCTTAACGCTTTACATTTTTCTAAATTTGTTATTTATTCGGTATCGTGAAATATTTGTATTATTATTTAATTATTCAACATCTGTTCTATGCATGAAATATGACATTCTCAAGCAATTTAATAGCCAATTCATTTTAAGCAGCTCAGCTGTTTTTGTCGTTTACATTTTCAATGTCTGTTTTTTTAATGTTCAAAATGATTTTCTTAAGAACAAATTACACATGAAGAAAATACAAACGTTATGTTCCTAACTTTATAGAGAAATAGATGTCTTTCCTTATTTTGTCATTTAATAAACAATTCACAACAGGGCACAGGAAATTTATAAACTGTCAGGGTTTGTATAATGAATAATCAACTTTAGAGATCGCTCATAAAGTCCCTAAGCGGTATTTGCAGCCGCCTTATCGCTTTTTGCTATCCAAATTTGTTATGTGTTTTGTGTTTTGATCCAGCAGTAGTCAAAATCAAATTGTTTACCTGCACCGTCACCACAAAATTCTCGTTTTTGGTTTCTTTTCTGGGTAACCCGATCCTCCAGTTTGGGCGGTGAGGCGGGCAGTGAGCAAGATCAAGATCAAGACCCCGAAACTGAGTCAAGATCAAAGTCGATTTCTGTTCAAGATGTGGCAGCAACAGCCGACGAAATACTATTCGACCGAATCCGTTCGAGTAACTCACACAATATCCGGCGAACGTTGCCACTCCAATTTACTTGCAGCTGACAACAACAGTGCGTCCGGTGGCGGCTCCGGGAACAATAATACTGCTAATTGCGGGAAGAACTCGACGCACAAGCTAGATGAGTCGTGCGGTTCGAGTCCCATTACCAATCAATTGCTGGGACAATGGCGCAAGAACTTTTACAGCGAACCGAAGAATCTGCTGGCGCAGAACGTCTGCTCCCGCGTTGATCCCTTTGATGTCTGCCTATCAAGAAAGGCTCTGGAGACTACCAATCATGTGTTCAATTACAAGGTGGAGACTGAGGGAAAGCCGGTGACCAATCAAAGGAGCTCCGGCCGCTGCTGGCTGTTTGCGGCCCTCAATTGTATCCGCCTGCCATTCATGAAGAACTACAATTTAGACGAGTTCGAGTTCTCGCAGGCTTTCCTCTTCTACTGGGATAAGATCGAGCGGTGCAACTACTTCCTTAACAACATTGTGAAGACGGCGCAGAGGGGCGAGAAAGTAGACGGCCGACTGGTGTCCTTCCTGCTCCTCGATCCCACCTCCGATGGCGGCCAGTGGGACATGCTGGTCAATCTGATAACCAAACACGGCCTTATGCCAAAGAAATGCTTCCCTGAGAGCTTTAGCTGTGAGTCCAGCATACGAATGAACGCCATACTGAAGAGCAAGGTTAGTTGGTAAAATGGTTCTTACAGTTTTTGCAGTTTATATATTGTAGTCAGATTAGATTTTGTCCTTTACTTTTGTAATTCGAATTATAATTGTACTTAAAATGTATATTATTTTGTAGCTTCGGGAGTACGCCCGCCACCTACGCGTGCTGCTGGATCAGAATCCAACGGAGGAGGAGATCACCTGTAAGATCCAGGAGCAGATGGCTGAGATCTACAAGGTGGTGGGTATTTGCCTGGGAATACCCGCGGAGACCTTCACCTGGGAGTACTACGATAAGAGCAAGAATTATCAGTCCATTGGACCAGTTAGCTCGCTGGAGTTCTACGAGCGCTATGTAAAGCCGTATTTCAACGTGGAAGACAAGGTTTGTCTGGTCACTGATCCTCGGCCGACGAGTAGCTATGACCAGGCCTACACTGTCGACTGCTTGGGCAATGTGGTTGGCGGCAGACCCGTACTGTACAACAATCAGTCGGTGGAACTGCTCCTAGCTGTGGTCACCAAGTCGCTGAAGGCCGGTGAGGCCGTGTGGTTTGGTTGCGAAGTTAGCAAGCGATTCGCATCCAAGCAAGGTATCGAGGATGTGGACGTGTGAGTGATTTCTTTTATGTACATTTTCAAAGGCTGACATAAGCTGCCTTTTCATGCATTGGCATCTAAATTAAATTTGATTTTTATTCTATTATAGCCACGATTTCAAGCTGGTCTTTGACATCGACATACAAACTACATTCTCGAAGGCGGACCGCTTGATCTATGGAGAGTCGGCAATGACCCATGCTATGGTTTTCACCGCCGTCTCCGTGGACGTGAGTTCTATGAAGTAACCGCAATAATACCCTTACTATTTATTAACTTGTCTTGCAGAAAGCCGGAGTTGCTCAGAAACTGCGGGTGGAGAACTCCTGGGGCGAGGATCGCGGAGAGAAGGGCTACCTAGTAATGAACTCCGATTGGTTTAGGGAGTTTGGATTCGAGGTGGTTGTGGACAAGAAGTACGTTCCCGAGGATGTGCTACGTGTGTTCGATATGGATCCAATTGTCCTGCCCGCCTGGGATCCCATGGGCACGCTAGCGCAGTAGGATGCCATCCATATATATATATATATCTATATATATTTAAATACAATATATGCAAAGCTTTACGAGCAGCAATCTTCGAGCGGCATCCAAGTGTTCGAGTTACCAGCTTTCAGTTTTTGTGTACATTATTTTCTCTGGCCAGTTGCCACATTTTCAAACTCCTTCCCAAGCCTTCCAATCCCTAAGGTGGTGTATCCATATGCAATATATCAGTCCTTGTCTCTAAAGTCCTTGTCAATTCTGTAAAGCAATAATTTTGTGTTTAGCGCCTAAGTAAAAGAAATTTCTCAGTTCACCCCCAATTATGTTTATCCTTGATTTTGCAACGGGCAGTTGAAAATATATACAATACAAACGAGAAATAAATGAATAATGTAAATGCATTTTTTACGTATATACAATTACATATTAAATAAATATATTGAAAACAATATTCTTTACTTTGAACTCGATAATCAGTAGGTATGGCGGGTAGCTTGCCATTTTAGAAAAACTAATGTATTGGAATTGGTTCTCAAAGTTTTAATATTGTACATTGCAGTCAGATTAAATGTTGTCCTTCACTTTTATTATTCAAATTATAATTGTACTAACCAAAATCAAATATTGTATTGTAGGTTCGGAAGTACGCGAAGGAGGAGATCTCTCGCAAGATCCACGAGCAGATGGCTGAGATCTACAAGGTGGTGGGTATCTGCCTGGGAATAAATATTGTCGTTTTAAGGGGGAAAACCCTAAATTGGCATTTTCGATAAGCGATAACAATAATTTCTTTTATTTCGTGAAAAATAGCATACTTTAAACTTTACAGATTTAAATGCCAAACAATAGTGAATTAAATTATGAGCTTAAAAAGGTAATACATTCTACATTGCTCTGACCAAAATACCAATTATTTATAGACAGTTTTGATGTAGCTAAAACATTGTTTTTGCAACGGGCGGTTAAAAATATATACAAAAAACGATAAATAAGTTAATAATGTAAATGCTTTAATGTTGTATATACAATTACATATTAAACAAAATTTTGAAAACAATATTCTTAACTTAATGCTTGCATAATAGAAAGGAACTCCGAGCCGCTCTCATTCCCAATATAATTTACAATTTGAAATAATTTGATTTGTAATATACAATTTTAAAGGCATATATATGATTGGATCTTATTTGGCCTTTATCCGCATCCGCCTCTGCTCGTACTCATAGCTAAGACGCTGCCAAATACCCAGGCACATCCGCACCAAACGCATATCCTTTTCGGCGTTGCTCTTGGCGAAAGCGTACTGTTCCCGAATCACGTGTTTCGCAGTTCGGAGGTGACCCCGCTGTATTAGCGAGATGCTAAAATACAGCTTACAGCGAGCTTGGAGGAAGGGATCTCCGAGACGTAGACCAATCTTTAACTGCTGCAGTGAGATCTTGCCGGCCGTCGCCGCCTGAAAAAGGATTTAATATTAGAAACGTGTTTAGAACAATTTACATTTAAAAAGCTAAAAGACAAGTAATAATTAATAAAAGCTAACAAAAGTTATTTTTAGATTTTCGATCTGCACTATGCAGCGAGAGAAAAAGTTACTACAATTATGGCAAACTATGAAGCAGGATAGATTATTAATACTAACACTAATGGTAGTTATGAAAAAGACTACCAATAATCAAGGTTATTACATTTTTCAATAGTGCTGGTTATTCCTTGCCAAAATAATAAATAATAATAAAACATACCTGACATTCAAGAAACCGGTTTTAAAATGTTTACTTAGAAGTATGAGGACAATCTGTTTCCCGCCAAAAATGGAATAGATTGTTTGCATGACTTACGCATCGCTCAAACTGCTCGCCAAGGGCAGAGAAACCGCCACCAAGTGTGGAGAGCCAGGACATAAGGTGATCCACCTCGATATGCTCCCATAGTGTGTGTGCTAGAATGTCCGCGAATCTGTAGTCGACAGTGTCTTTTTCCGGCGGCTTAAAGGACAGCCAGAGCAACTGGACGCCATGCTTGCTCCTCAGTCTCCTGCCCAGCTCCTTTTGATAGAGGAACTCGCGCAGGTAGTAATTTCCATTAATGGCATCCACGTTAATGATAAGCCTTCTTAAAGGTTTCGATTCTCGGCAAGAGTCGCCGGCTTCCCGATTTGGACGATTGTGGAAATGACATTGCTGCCAGTAATCGCAAACGCAAATAACCAAGGAATCAGACATCTAAAGAGGATTAAGTTGTTAAGCCCACTGTAATATTTTATAATCTTTTATCGATCTATTGAAATCTAAATGCTAAACTATTAGGTAGATTCCACAGGTTCCTTGGTCTGGATACTTTCGGTAGCCTTCAAAATCAAGTGGAAGTCACCATCTCTGATCTACACTGGTTTGTCAGCTCAGTTTGGAGTCATAATGTCGGATACATTAACCGGCATACAAGGTTCGATGAAAGTTTTTTTTATTGTGCTTTTGCACTTTTATCACAAGTATTTGCTAAAAATTGTTAATAAGAATGTGCCCACATTTAGGGCGCAAAAAAATACTACGATCATATGGTAGCACTGGCGGTCTGGCAGCATCTTTGCATATGGGCGCCAAAAGTTATCGGCTTTCAATAGCTATGTATGTAATTGTGTATTTCGTTTTGTTACCATGCGAACAGAAACGCAGAAAGTAGCTTATACTTTTTCAAGGTGGCAAATTATTATTTGATATTGCGAATTTCTGTTAAAAATAGGTTTCCTGATTTCTCAGCCCCTAAATTAGAGCTCGCACCGAAAAATCAGAGCAATAATGATAAAAGCAAGTATAGGGGTTTTAAGTTTCGGTTTTTAACTGCATAAAACAGTCATTGGCTTATCCGTGCGTCTTGTATTAACAAAGTTAGAGCTAAGAGACTGCAACAAAACCGGAATTTCTGCTGCTAAAAGACGTATACTTGATTTTGGGCGGAAAAAAATCGGTTTTGTTGCTATAGCACAGCCATAAATGGTCCAAATGAGGAATGTAATACCGCGTAGGACTCGTTACTTGATTGCCATGATTCCCAATTGATTTGCATTCAAATCTGGGAAACTTCATTTTTCGGCATTTTTTGAAAATTTTGACGATGGTACCCCTTATCAAAAATGCGAAATTTGGGCCAAAAATGACTTTCCCAAAATCGAAAAACGGGTGATAGGGGTGGTTAGTATTGGTCGTTAGCAGCACGAAACAGTCGTTCTTTTGGCTGTGCGTCTTGTTTTGGCCGAGCTAGAGCTAAAAAACCGAGCATAGTATTGCAAATTTCTGTTAAAAATCGGTTTCCAGTGCTCGCACCGAAAAATCAGAGCAATAATGATAAAAGCAAGTATAGGGGTGTTAAGTTTCGGTTGTTAACTGCATAAAACAGTCATTGGCTTATCCGTGCGTCTTGTATTAACAAAGTTAGAGCTAAGAGACTGCAACAAAACCGGAATTTCTGCTGCTAAAAGACGTATACTTGATTTTGCGCGAAAAAAAATCAGTTTTGTTGCTATAGCACAGCCAAAAATGGTCCAAATGAGGAATGTAATACCTCGTAGGACTCGTTACTTGATTGCCATGATTCCCAATTGATTTGCATTCAAATCTGGGAAACTTCATTTTTCGGCATTTTTTGAAAATTTTGACGATGGTACCCCTTATCAAAAATGCGAAATTTGGGCCAAAAATGACTTTCCCAAAATCGAAAAACGGGTGATAGGGGTGGTTAGTATTGGTCGTTAGCAGCACGAAACAGTCGTTCTTTTGGCTGTGCGTCTTGTTTTGGCCGAGCTAGAGCTAAAAAACCGAGCATAGTATTGCAAATTTCTGTTAAAAATCGGTTTCCAGTGCTCGCACCGAAAAATCAGAGCAATAATGATAAAAGCAAGTATAGGGGTGTTAAGTTTCGGTTGTTAACTGCATAAAACAGTCATTGTTTTAGCCGTGCGTCTTGTATTAACAAAGTTAGAGCTAAGAGACTGCAACAAAACCGGAATTTCTGCTGCTAAAAGACGTATACTTGATTTTGCGCGGAAAAAAATCAGTTTTGTTGCTATAGCACAGCCAAAAATGGTCCAAATGAGGAATGTAATACCTCGTAGGACTCGTTACTTGATTGCCATGATTCCCAATTGATTTGCATTCAAATCTGGGAAACTTCATTTTTCGGCATTTTTTGAAAATTTTGATGATGGTACCCCTTATCAAAAATGCGAAATTTGGGCCAAAAATGACTTTCCCAAAATCGAAAAACGGGTGATAGGGGTGGTTAGTATTGGTCGTTAGCAGCACGAAACAGTCGTTCTTTTGGCTGTGCGTCTTGTTTTGGCCGAGCTAGAGCTAAAAAACCGAGCATAGTATTGCAAATTTCTGTTAAAAATCGGTTTCCAGTGCTCGCACCGAAAAATCAGAGCAATAATGATAAAAGCAAGTATAGGGGTGTTAAGTTTCGGTTGTTAACTGCATAAAACAGTCATTGTTTTAGCCGTGCGTCTTGTATTAACAAAGTTAGAGCTAAGAGACTGCAACAAAACCGGAATTTCTGCTGCTAAAAGACGTATACTTGATTTTGGGCGGAAAAAAATCAGTTTTGTTGCTATAGCACAGCCAAAAATGGTCCAAATGAGGAATGTAATACCGCGTAGGACTCGTTACTTGATTGCCATGATTCCCAATTGATTTGCATTCAAATCTGGGAAACTTCATTTTTCGGCATTTTTTGAAAATTTTGATGATGGTACCCCTTATCAAAAATGCGAAATTTGGGCCGAAATTGACTTTCCCAAAATCGAAAAACGGGTGATAGGGGTGGTTAGTATTGGTCGTTAGCAGCACGAAACAGTCGTTCTTTTGGCTGTGCGTCTTGTTTTGGCCGAGCTAGAGCTAAAAAACCGAGCATAGTATTGCAAATTTCTGTTAAAAATCGGTTTCCAGTGCTCGCACCGAAAAATCAGAGCAATAATGATAAAAGCAAGTATAGGGGTGTTAAGTTTCGGTTGTTAACTGCATAAAACAGTCATTGTTTTAGCCGTGCGTCTTGTATTAACAAAGTTAGAGCTAAGAGACTGCAACAAAACCGGAATTTCTGCTGCTAAAAGACGTATACTTGATTTTGCGCGGAAAAAAATCAGTTTTGTTGCTATAGCACAGCCAAAAATGGTCCAAATGAGGAATGTAATACCGCGTAGGACTCGTTACTTGATTGCCATGATTCCCAATTGATTTGCATTCAAATCTGGGAAACTTCATTTTTCGGCATTTTTTGAAAATTTTGATGATGGTACCCCTTATCAAAAATGCGAAATTTGGGCCAAAATTGACTTTCCCAAAATCGAAAAACGGGTGATAGGGGTGGTTAGTATTGGTCGTTAGCAGCACGAAACAGTCGTTCTTTTGGCTGTGCGTCTTGTTTTGGCCGAGCTAGAGCTAAAAAACCGAGCATAGTATTGCAAATTTCTGTTAAAAATCGGTTTCCAGTGCTCGCACCGAAAAATCAGAGCAATAATGATAAAAGCAAGTATAGGGGTGTTAAGTTTCGGTTGTTAACTGCATAAAACAGTCATTGTTTTAGCCGTGCGTCTTGTATTAACAAAGTTAGAGCTAAGAGACTGCAACAAAACCGGAATTTCTGCTGCTAAAAGACGTATACTTGATTTTGGGCGGAAAAAAATCAGTTTTGTTGCTATAGCACAGCCAAAAATGGTCCAAATGAGGAATGTAATACCGCGTAGGACTCGTTACTTGATTGCCATGATTCCCAATTGATTTGCATTCAAATCTGGGAAACTTCATTTTTCGGCATTTTTTGAAAATTTTGATGATGGTACCCCTTATCAAAAATGCGAAATTTGGGCCAAAATTGACTTTCCCAAAATCGAAAAACGGGTGATAGGGGTGGTTAGTATTGGTCGTTAGCAGCACGAAACAGTCGTTCTTTTGGCTGTGCGTCTTGTTTTGGCCGAGCTAGAGCTAAAAAACCGAGCATAGTATTGCAAATTTCTGTTAAAAATCGGTTTCCAGTGCTCGCACCGAAAAATCAGAGCAATAATGATAAAAGCAAGTATAGGGGTGTTAAGTTTCGGTTGTTAACTGCATAAAACAGTCATTGTTTTAGCCGTGCGTCTTGTATTAACAAAGTTAGAGCTAAGAGACTGCAACAAAACCGGAATTTCTGCTGCTAAAAGACGTATACTTGATTTTGCGCGGAAAAAAATCAGTTTTGTTGCTATAGCACAGCCAAAAATGGTCCAAATGAGGAATGTAATACCGCGTAGGACTCGTTACTTGATTGCCATGATTCCCAATTGATTTGCATTCAAATCTGGGAAACTTCATTTTTCGGCATTTTTTGAAAATTTTGATGATGGTACCCCTTATCAAAAATGCGAAATTTGGGCCGAAATCGACTTTCCCAAAATCGAAAAACGGGTGATAGGGGTGGTTAGTATTGGTCGTTAGCAGCACGAAACAGTCGTTCTTTTGGCTGTGCGTCTTGTTTTGGCCGAGCTAGAGCTAAAAAACCGAGCATAGTATTGCAAATTTCTGTTAAAAATCGGTTTCCAGTGCTCGCACCGAAAAATCAGAGCAATAATGATAAAAGCAAGTATAGGGGTGTTAAGTTTCGGTTGTTAACTGCATAAAACAGTCATTGTTTTAGCCGTGCGTCTTGTATTAACAAAGTTAGAGCTAAGAGACTGCAACAAAACCGGAATTTCTGCTGCTAAAAGACGTATACTTGATTTTGCGCGGAAAAAAAATCAGTTTTGTTGCTATAGCACAGCCAAAAATGGTCCAAATGAGGAATGTAATACCGCGTAGGACTCGTTACTTGATTGCCATGATTCCCAATTGATTTGCATTCAAATCTGGGAAACTTCATTTTTCGGCATTTTTTGAAAATTTTGATGATGGTACCCCTTATCAAAAATGCGAAATTTGGGCCAAAAATGACTTTCCCAAAATCGAAAAACGGGTGATAGGGGTGGTTAGTATTGGTCGTTAGCAGCACGAAACAGTCGTTCTTTTGGCTGTGCGTCTTGTTTTGGCCGAGCTAGAGCTAAAAAACCGAGCATAGTATTGCAAATTTCTGTTAAAAATCGGTTTCCAGTGCTCGCACCGAAAAATCAGAGCAATAATGATAAAAGCAAGTATAGGGGTGTTAAGTTTCGGTTGTTAACTGCATAAAACAGTCATTGTTTTAGCCGTGCGTCTTGTATTAACAAAGTTAGAGCTAAGAGACTGCAACAAAACCGGAATTTCTGCTGCTAAAAGACGTATACTTGATTTTGGGCGGAAAAAAATCAGTTTTGTTGCTATAGCACAGCCAAAAATGGTCCAAATGAGGAATGTAATACCGCGTAGGACTCGTTACTTGATTGCCATGATTCCCAATTGATTTGCATTCAAATCTGGGAAACTTCATTTTTCGGCATTTTTTGAAAATTTTGATGATGGTACCCCTTATCAAAAATGCGAAATTTGGGCCAAAAATGACTTTCCCAAAATCG